TATATATATATATATATATATATATATATATATATATATATATATATTTATATATGTACCGAATGTGCAAATGTTACACAAAATCATACGATCAAAATTATCTTTTTGATAACGATTAACAGAGAGCAAAGGAAACAATGTTGTGTGAAGTGTTTAAAAAAAGATGAAAAATTGGCCGATTTTATTTCAAGTTCATTTCGATTTATTTAATAATTCCAATAATTGTAATTAATAACATTTGTCACTCATTCAAACGAATATTTGCCGTTTTTTATTTACAAATCATTTCATATGCTATTTTCATCGGACAATTTACATGTAAACGTCGTGCGCGATCAAAAATCAAAAACATGAAAAACTACAACTTACACAAATACTTTTGTTCAATGAACGTTCTACACGACACCCCGCAAAGCGAATACGATATCAAAGTTTCTTTATTTTTTGACAGTTAATTTTCTGCTGCCAATGTTGTTGTTGTTGTTTTTTTTCTATTGATGTTTTGATTTGTTTTATGAACGTTGCCTTTCTTGCAACCAAACCGAAACACACTAATTTTTTTTTCTTATTGTTCGGTCTCTCTCACGGTGTAAACATTTTAAAGTGAATGAATATGGTACAATGGAGCCGTTGCCGCACATAGAACTGTCAAACTAATGAGTAATGAGACATTAGAGGGATAAAAACCTTTCATTCAAAGCATTCAACACATCGAACGAATGCTGTCATTGTGTTTTGAGTGGCACTGGCATCGGTTGTGTGTATTGACGAGAAATCTTAAATCGAAGCGAAAAAATTCATTGAAACAAACAAAAACAATTATAGCAAATCATGACCAAAGAAAGTGCGTGTCGCATTTGCGAAAAGAAATATTCGTCGAATTTTGCAAATCTTTTCGATTCAAAAGTTAAGGTGTACGAAAATGATAATTACATGGTTTCGTATTTTGAAGCGATGCAGCAATTGACAGGCATGGAGGTTTGTATTTGGTTTTTTCTTATACGCCATTTATACTTTAGTGGTAGCATTCAGTTTTTCGGGGTTTTGCACTTAGATGTTTTCATTTTTGTAGTTTTGTTTTTGTTACGTACAAACATTTTATGGTGTTTTTTTTCAATTGATTTAAATTTTATCCTTGTTTCAGATTGATTACAGCAACAATGTGTCGAATAACATTTGTGTGGATTGTCAAAATCGCGTGAAATTGGCGTACAAAATTCGTGGTGAAATCATTAAAGCAATTGAAAAAAAGAATCCAAAAACGATTGTCTATCAAATCATCACAAAAAACAATGGAAGCGAAGCAAAATGCATTGACGGTGGTTCTATGGTACACGAAGAACTGGTGGAAATTACCGAGGTCGAAGAAGATTACCAACTGGAATCGGAATTGAGTGAACAAGTTTATGTGGTTGAAAAGAATGATGAGGAAAGTATTGAATATTTAAATGATGGGGAACTAATCACAGACGATCCAATTAGCGAGGAACCATTAGATGCGGTCAGCTTTTTACTGGAAAAGAAAGACTTATTCAAAGACGATGATGCCTCAATGGCCAAAAAAGGACGACGCACTCACCGATGTGAGGTGTGCGAAAAGACATTTATGCGCAAATCCAATTTGGTCGATCATCTACGTTTGCATGCAAACGTGAGGTAAACAAATGGACTCTTTTAAAAATTGAAAAATAAACATAATTCTGATGAATTCGATCGTCTTTTACAGATTATACAAATGCGAACATTGCAGCAAAGAATTCGTTCAGGTAAAATCCGCTTAAAACAATCACTTTTTATGTGTTTTTATTAATTGATTCCCTTGTTCATTTTTCAGGCTGGAAACTATCGTTCACACTTACGTGTAAGTCTCAATCAACTTTATTTGATCCACTGTTGCTACACTGTTGCAAAAAAAAATCGTGTTTGATTTATCCATTTGTTTTTCCAGATCCACACCAAGGAGAGACCGTTCAAATGTTCAATGTGTCCAAAGACTTATAATCAATCGAGTGCACTGAAAGTTCACATTCGTTCCCACACAAATGAGAAGAACTACATTTGTCCAACTTGCGATAAGGTAATATTATTAAATACCGTTTGAACAGGCACAAAATATCAATGCAAATCTTGTTTCATAATTGCTTTATTTCTCCTTCCTTCCAGGGATTTACAAACTCATCCGATTTAAATAAGCACATTCGCGTGCATGACCCAACCCTGAAAATCAAGTGTGACTTTTGTGACAAGACCTTTGCTCAACGCGTCAATTTAAGGAATCATGTGATTCGTCACCATCCCAAAAAGTCCAAGAAATAAACGGAATCCATTGTTTGAAACATTTATTGATAGTAATAGGTTGGGCGAATCAAAATATTTATTTTTTTTTGTTTTTCGTACATTCGGACAAACCATTTTTAAAATTATTTCAAATTCCGATGCAGTTTTCTAAATATTTTCTTTGTGTAAATATTTTGATTCGCTCAAATTTTAACATAACCCAACGAACAAATATGTAACGTTTTTAGGACATTTTAACGTTAAAAAATGTAACGCTTTAACCCATTTTTGTGGCAATTTTCGTGTCAAATGGAAGGTAGAATATAGGCATAATGTGAACCACTTTTTCGGCTTTTTCGTGTTGCGATACACAACAACATCTTCTGTGTGTTTCGATTGTTTCTCTTTTTGTTATTATATTCTAAGAAACTGTAGCGGCAATACAATGTAAACAAATGTAAATAACATAAACTCGTTGAGTTCATAATATCGTATTCATACGATTGATTTTAAGCAAATGAAATTTGAAAAACAAACCGGAAAAAAAAGAGGATGAAAATACAAATCTTACTCTCTTCTCTCTGTGTGTGTTTCGATTGTGCATGAATAAAAAAAAACATTGCGTAGGAATTTCAAGTGACTGTGAAATACATTTATAAATGTACCTTTTTTTAGATTTGTTTGATTTGATTTTAGTTTCAGAAACATTTTTTTATTTTTTTTCTTTTTTTTATTTCATAATTCAAATTCGAATTTCGAATTCGAAACATGTTTGAATGTGTACGACATTTGACAGTTGGTAGCTGTGTGTATTGGTGTGTATCATATCGAAGCCGATTTTTCTGATTACATTCAAAATGTGCTTCGTAAACATTGCATCGTATCAATTAATTTCTTTGAACTAAATAGGGATTTTTTCGCATCAAAATATTTTGAAGTTATTGTTAAGAATAAGGTAAGTAATTATGGTTAAGTTGCCATTGTGTTGAAAAAAAAAAAAAACAAAATTCAGTGATTAATAAATGGAATTCTTGTACATGAGATTCATTTTTTGTTTATCGTCATTTTAGCAACGGTTTGGTGTGTTTGGAACGTAACTGTAGAAGTCACTCGATGTCAAATGGAAAGATTCACAGTCCGTTTTGTGACAGTCTTTGTTTTCATTTCAAAATAAAAAAAAAACATTTTCATCGTTTTAATCAGGACACAGCGTTCTATAGTATAAGAAGTTATTCATTTGAATTGTGATATGAGTGTGTTCTCATTTTTTGTTTGTAACAAATTGTGCTTTGCTTGTAAAAGGAATTCTTGAGAATTATGTGTGAGTGTTTATATTAGAGTATGAAACATTTTGTTTGTCGTCATTTTTGGCTAACATTTGTTCCAATGATTTTGTTTGTTCGATGTTAAACGGATAAATTCACTGTTGGTTTTGAGATTGTCTCTGTTGTTATTTCAAAATAAGAAAGCATTCATAAAATTGACGGTGAATATTCCAACAAAATTTTCATCTGCGGAATATTGGAAAACATTTCATCATTTGAATCAGAATACAGAGTGACATCGTTGAGGTAAGAAGTGATTAATTTGAATTGTGATATAAGTGATTGTCATTTAAATTGTGATCTCATTTTATTCGTAATCTATGCTTTTTTTGTTGCATTTTTTTTCTAAATTTGTGTCTATTTTTTATTTTCGAATAATTTGATCAGTTTTTTGAGAATGAACAGAAAAAGACATGGATGACGACGAGCTCGATGATAATCAACCAGAAGAAAGCAAATACGTTGTTATAAAATGTGGACTTCAAACAATCCTGCGACAACAACATGAACGGATTGAAAGAGTTGGAGAAGTTGTGACCAAAATGCTATTCGAGCGCAGTGTTCAAATGACAGAAGTGGCAGCATTGGCATCACTTTCTATTCTTTTTATTTTGAATGAAGCACTTGATAATGACGATCGTGCATTTTTTTTGAAACCACATCCAAGCCTGTTCATTGCCGATTGTTTCAGAGCGGTATTAAACCAACACGTTAACAATATCAGAAGTCAATATCGGATATTGCCCGAGTTTCGTTTCATGGTAGAAAGAAACAGTGAAGAACAGTTCCGATGGCCAGATGATGAAAAGTTGGGAAATGGTTTGAGATATTTTTATAAACAATATATCACAAACATTCAAACCAATACCAACACATGGTGTGAAAAACGACTTGAGAATTTTTTTCGAATGCGTTGTTGGTATCGCAATCGATTCCACAATGGCTCAAGATTTGATAACATCGACATCAGAAATGCCAAAGAGTTTTCATATCGATTTAAGAATTTAACAAATGGTAATAATGGTAATAATGTGGATCCACAACGCGTTGAAAAATTCAATATTTTAATGAGAGATTTGACTGAAATTGGATGGTCGGTAACAGTGAGTATGAAATTTTTCGCAAAATATCGTTGGTTTGAATCACTGTGGTTGTTCGGTCAAATGCAACGGCAAATAGAAGTGTATCACAGTCATGCCGAACAATGGAATACCATTCATGAAATGTTTCGTAACAATCCGAACTTTCAAGAGCCAACAATCAATCGACCACCAAAAATAAGCAGTTTTGCTCTTATACCATTATGCGACTACCATTTGAAAAACGTGCGATTGGACATTAAGGACTTGTATTATAAAATTGTAAACGAGCTTGATTTGGTGCCTTCTTTTCTCAATACGCGGACCAACCGGATGAATAAGAGAAATTTAAAGTACTACACCCAAACTGATCGATCAGGTCTATGGAATATGTTGTTCGATGTCGGTAAAATAAATAAATTGGGCAAATCAAAACCATTCCATCATCAGATTTTGACCGATAGTGTTTCAATATCCATAATGTACAAGAAACCACAGCGACAACAACGACCACAGCGACAACAACGACCGCAGCAAACAACCCAAGCGAATCGGGGGCCGGAAAAACTCATTGGCAAGAAATACATCATTGGAATCGATCCGAATGAAAAATCGTGGTTAACTGTAGTGCGTCGCAACATTCAAAAAACACCTGATGAGCCGGCTGTTGAGGTAAGATATTTTGAAATGTAATTTGAAATGGTTTTGAATAGAAACTCATAGTTTTCTGTATCATTTTGCATTTTGAAGGAAAACATTATAATACCAAACCAGCGTTTTCATTGGGAAACTCAGCAGAAAAAACGAGACAAAGAAGCGAAAAAGTTGGCTGGATGGTTTGATATCGAAGAGAAGGAACATCTCAAAACATACCCATATCGTCCACCATCACCACGTAATTCAACATGGAAATCATACATTGAATATCGCATTAAAATGTTACGAAAAGGAATGGCAGCTTATGCGACGCGTGAATATGCACGACTGGATTTGGACCATCACATTCGCTCGACCAGAGTAAATGATCAAATCGCCGTGCGTGTGACAAACAACAAACCGTCGTTGGTTCAATTTGGTGCTTGGGCGATGAAACCCGATCGACCGTTTGGAATAAAAAAGCGTAAAAGATGTCCGGGATCGCGTAAGTTTCGTGTGAGCATTAAAAAACTTGGACATTCAGAAGTTGAAATGCAAGATGAATGGGGAACATCACAAACATGCGCGAATTGTCAGGAACGTTTTCCAAGGCACACAAAAGATGATCGATTTAAAGTGTGCTACGATTGTAGAGCGAAAAAGATTGATGGCCTGCCAGATTCAGTCGCTGGACTGCCAGATATCATTGTGTCAACGGTCAACAGACGTGTTTTGAGAAGAAAACGTGCAATTATTAAGCGACAAATTATCGATGGCAATCGTGAGGCTGTGAACGAAAAAATTCGGACTGGGCGTTTAATGTCAAAGGTTAAAGTTACCTACAAAAATTGGCCATTAAATGTTGATGATGATGATGTTGTTCCACAAACAGTTACTTGGCACCGAGATATTGTTGCAGCAAAATGCATTATGCTCAAAGGTATGAATCAATTGGAAACAGAATATTCATTATTTAATGTATTTGCTTTAAATTACATAGGACTTTGCCGGATCTTTGATGTACCATTGCCAGTTTCATTGTTAAGACCGCCGGACCAAAACAACAATGTCAACTAACAAACATCATCAATTAATCATACATTCAAAAAATTACATAAAATAAAATAATAATTGAAATCATATAAAATCATAAAAATAATTATTTCAAATAATAATTGAAATCATATAAAACATTCCTGTAAATAAGGAGAAACATAAAATAGTTCCGATTAGTCGGATGTATCTATTTCAGTATCACATGGTAGAGTTTGAGTTTTAATCATGTTCCCTTGCTCGTCGAATTCTTCAATAATATATGTGATGCGTTGACTCTTTTGTCGTTTTTTCTTCGCATATTTCTTGATCACAGAGAAATTATCGATGTTTTTCAACTCGCCATGATTGCTTTTCAAATTCAAACATTCCATAAATTCAAATGTGCTTGAATCGATCTCATATTGAGCGGGTGCCATTTTCGTCGATTGATCTGCATTTCGTGATTTGGGTTCAAGTTTATTATTTTCCGTTGCTGGTTTGACCATCGTCGGTATTTCATTCTGTTTCTCAGTTTCAATTACTGACATCTGTATGCCATCAGTGGTTTCCTTAAATTCACTCAGCGAATATGTGACATTTTTATTTATTGACACATCTTTTGCATGCGTTGCCATTGAAATTTGTTTTGACACAAATTCTGTTTCCATTCGAGTTTGCTGTCGAGAAAAAAAAAGAATCCAAGTCTATCAAATTATCACAGAAACAAAAAAAAAACAATGGAAATAATTAAATTACCTGTACACGGTATATGCCATCATCGCACAGTTGAAAGGTAAATCGTATGTGACCAGACGGCAATCGAAATCCATGACTCTTTCTTAAATGTCGCGAGAGCGATGCACCGCTTTTGTATTGTCGTTCGCAACAATGACAACAATATAGATTTGGCCCATCGCCATGCTCGTCGCGCGAATGTTTTCGCCATTGATTTATTGTCAAACATGTAAAATCACACTCTTCACAAAAATATGTTGTTTGCTCGATGTTGTGCTTTCTCGATTGATGCTTATTCAAATCCCATTTTGTAACCGCCGCATAATCACATTCGCTACATTTAAATGGACTGAAATAAACAAAACAAAAAAAAAAAGGTGTGAGTAAGATTGAAAAGATAAAATTGTTCAGCGTTTACCGTTCGTTCAAATGACGATAGCGAAAATGTTGGACAAGAGCTGCATTCGATGGGCATGTCATATCGCATTCCGTGCATTTCACACGATTTACATGGGCCGATGTGTGATTATTCAACAATTCTTCGGTGTGAAAAGTTTGAAAACAGTGATCACACTTGTAATTCTCTATATTGAAAAAAAAATATTTCGTCAATTCGATGAGAAATGGTTTGAGCAATTTCACTTACTGTTTAAAGCCTGACGCCGAAAATGATCGTAGAATTTTGCATACGAATTTATTGTTTGGCCACAATTTAAACACGCGACGAATCGTTCACCCGTATGTGTTCGCATGTGATCCGTCATTTTCAGCCTTTTATTAAACATTCTCTTACACGAAACCCTGTGACATTTAATGAAAAGAAAGAATTATTTAAAAATGCCATTTCATCCATTTGATTTGAATTTAAACACCCACCATTGGCATTGAACTGGTTTATTTCGATTGCCCTGCTTATTGAACTCGAGCTCATGCACACAATGTGAATATGCGTGTGAGTAAAAATCTTCCACCATATCGAATGTATAGCTGCAATCTTTCCACATGCAAACGTACTTCGAGTCGGTGGCCGGAATTAAATTCCGTCCACGTGATGAAATCAAACACGCTGGCATTGGTCTCTTGATCAATAGTTGTTCGCCAACGGTTTTCAAGCGTGTCATATAACAATGATATCCAACGTGCCGTTTGAAAATTACAAAATCATCGCATTCAATTCCACACAGATCCCATTCACATTTGAATATCTCGGCAGTCGGCTGCAAATGGCTCAAAACATGTTCACAAAACTCCGTATGTTTATCAAACAATCGATTACATCGTTGCCATTCACAACAAGACAAGACAATTTGCTTAACATTTTCTTCATTGTCTTGGGCATCCTTTTGAACGCATGAAATAAAAACCATTAACTTTATATTTTCATTTTATTCTAGAGAAGAATTTTTTTTACCGAAATTGGCGCCAAATTAACGTCTCTTTGTTCTTCGTCTGAATCATTTGAATCCAATTGTTCTGGTTGAATTTTGGTTTTCTCTTTTTTCTGTTGTTGAATCCAATTTTTGCATCGATCAAAATTATTTTGTGCTTTTTTCGATTTTCCAACGGCTTTGTCCCGTTTTATTGTTTTAACAGGTGTTTTATTTGCCGCTTTTCTACGCCGTGTTTGTACCATTTTTATTGTGAAACTAAAGATATACGCAGTTTCACATAAAACTATTGTTGAGAAAAAAAACTCTTCACAGGTGAAATACTAACAATAAACAATTTGACATTAGATTTTGCCTCCAAAATGACAACTGCATAAAATTAGAACACAATTGACAGATTGAATTGTTGACGGTAGCGCCATCAACGACATTCAACCAAACCTCGCCATCGAATGTGGAAAAACATCTTCGACGTACGCATTCTTTCCGGCTGTCACTGCAAAAGGTACAACACAAACTTTTATTTCATCTCACTTTATTTTATTCATCGACCATAAAATAATTGCATTTTTCGTGAATAATTTACACAATGTGGCATCACAAATCGAATAAAATCAAAATTTTTCATCGAAAGCAATGCGATGGCACATAAATTACGTTTTTTTACCAAAGTATTTCATCCTTTCTGCCAAATGTACACGATCAATGCAAATGCTGTATGCAGAGTGTGTGTGTGTATCGAAATATAATCTAACAAAACACATTTTTCTGTTGTTTCATTTCAGATAAATAGCGAAGATGGCTGTACGTTATCAAATTGCTGTTGGTCTTACCAAAGGCTTTAAAACCACCAAACTTCGTCGTGTTACCTACAAAGGTGACAAAAAAGTGAAGGGTCTTAAAGGAACAAACGTTAAAAATGTAAGTTGAACCAAAGTGCTGTTTGTGTATTCACCAGAAGAAGAAAAAAATCTGATGTTATGAAGCATAACCTCAATTTTGAACCAAAAAAAATGTGTTTTTCATGTGTGAAATATTTTAACGGCGTTTCTTTAATGATGACAACAAAACTAATCCATTCAAAGACAAGCAAATTCACGAGACTTTTTGCATTGACGTGTGTCAATATTCTTTTGATACATCGTTCAATACAGATATGACTCGTTTGCTTCTTGGTTAATTTGTAGGCACTGATCGATTTTTCGAATACATTGAAACGTTTTTCCGTTGAATAAAACACATTTTTTTCATTCAAGTCCATGATTATGATATACTAATGTCGTTTCGTTTTTCTTCATAGATCCAAACCAAACACACCAAATTCGTTCGTGATTTGGTCCGTGAAGTCGTTGGACACGCTCCATATGAAAAGAGATGCATGGAATTGTTGAAAATTTCAAAGGATAAGCGTGCATTGAAATTCTGCAAAGCTCGTTTGGGCACACACATCCGTGGAAAGAGAAAGCGTGAAGAATTGTCCAACATCTTGACACAAATGCGTAAAGCCGGCCATGCCAAGTAAACGCCAAACATGCATCCAACATCTGATTGCGGCAAACAATTCACAATTAACAACTGTTTTCATATAATCGACCCGCGCAATCACCATCAATGCAAGATCGATTTTATAAATGTGAATTAAATTTACGAAAGAAATAAAAATTCATAAAAAAAACTTTGATTTGTTTATTTTAAACAAAAACAAAAACACATGTGGCTAGTTTTATTCATCTTTTCATCATATTTAGTCTGCTTTTAGATGTAAGATTTTCTTTTCAGCTATAGCTGTCTCTATTGGGATAGATATATTAAAGCAAAATGTTCAGCAAACAGAAATGGTAACAGATTTGTTGTTTTGATTCAATATCAATGACAAATGCTACTACTCAGCCCTTTTACACTTGATATTTAAGTAGCAATTGGTAGTTTTAAATCATGAGCAGAGCTGTTATAGGCACCGAAGAGGTGCTGACACTTTTAGTCACCTGTTTCTTCAATTCAGGCATGGCACTGTATATGAATTTAGAGCGGATACTCAATAGTGCCAGCAACTCCTGCGGTGCCAATACAGTTCTGATCATAGGACTTGATTCACGTTCAAATACGATTCGGTAAAATAAATCATAAAGAAAATACATGTAACATGAGTAACTAAAAGTCATGAGGAGCGATATGACCTCCATTTTTAACTTATATCCATTCAACTGTTACGTCAGGCTTGGACACTTTATACATTTGAAGAAAAAAAACCTTATAAACATCATTCAACATCTGGATATGTTGCAATAGCATTGCAAAGTTAAAGTGCTGCTCAATTTGAACTGGAATCAAGCATTGATATTAAATTGAAGAGATAATATGAAGTAATATTGAAAAGCGAGCAAATGATCTTGAGAAGGAGTTCCTCATTTGCACTCGTTTTGCTAAAAGAAGTTCAATGCAGATTTATATTGGCTAAAAAACAAGGTCATACAAAAGCTACTGAAATATTTCAACAAAAAAAAAAACATTTAAAAAAGTAATTAAAATAAAAACACACATTGCTTTAAATCAATAGAATAATTTCCATTTGTGTTGTTTTATTGGTTTTTTATCTCATTTTTATTTTGTTTTGGAAAATAAAAAGCCTAATTATCGCTTCATTGTGATGATTGTGAAGCTCGTGATTCGCGAATTGAGGCTGAACGGCGTCGTTTGGCTTCTTCGCGTTTGGCCTTTGATTCCTTCTTACGTTGGGCCAACAATTTAGCGTATTCGGCTTGTTGTTCCTTGGAGCGTTGTTGACGCTTCTTCTTGATGGCAACACGATGTCTCTTGCGTTGCAAAACATTTGGTGTAACCAAACGTTGGATTTTTGGTGCTGTGAAACGTTGTTTCTTGCCTTCTTTTTGTGGCAATGGACGACGAACAACATATTGACGAACATCATCTTCTTTCGACAAATTGTACAATTTGCGAATTTTGCTGGCACGTTTTGGTCCAAGACGACGTGGAACATGACGGTCGGTCAATCCTTCGATTTCCTTTTCACCTTTCTTGACAACGACCAAAGCCAAAACGGACATGTTACCGTCGACGATGCAACCGCGAACCGACTTACGTTTGCGTTCACCGTTACGACGTGGGCGATAGCATGAGTGTCCTTTCTTCAACAACAAACGAACACGAGCTGCAAAACAAACATGAAAAAGAAAACAACACCATTTCAGTTTACACTCACACTTGACATTTCTGTTTTGTTTGGTTATGTTTTGTGCACAAATCGTAAAGCGATGGAAAAAAAAATCAACTCACTGTGTGTAAGAACTCCTTGTTTCATTGGGAATCCTTGTTTGTCGTTACCGCCAGCAATGCGTAAAACATAGCCTTTCCACTCATCACCGAGTAAATCGGATGGAACTTCAGCGCCCATACGCTTTTCGTAGAAAATACGAAGTTTGTGTTCATCGTTGACTTCAAAGAGCTTTTGAGCTCCAGTTGCTGGATAAGAAACGTTCAACTAAAAAAATCCGAAAAAATTTAATCATTTAGTGTTTTTTTTTTCATAGAAATTTTTCATTTATTTGCATAACATGATTGTCATTCATTGCTGAGAATCTATATTGCACACATGAGATACAAACGAAGGTAAGCGGTTATCTGTCACGACACTCTAAACCAATCATTCACACCGAAATTATCACAAAATATATAAATCATCCGCAGAATAAATGGCAATATTACAATAAATATTTGTGCATCGACATCTCAATAATGAATTTCAATCAAAATTTCACACTTGCACACACTTTTCACCGATAATTTTTCAAAAAAATGTTCATTACCTTCATCGTAGACGTCTATATGGATCCACCATAGAATGTAAAAAGAAATATGTATGGGTTTTGGTTCAGTGACATTTACGATATGTCATTCAGCTATCCGGCCGCCATATTGGCCGACTAAATACCACACCAACATGCACAGTCAACTTCAGGCTGGACGATGTACAATATCATTTTATTTGATAAATTATTTCTAATATTTTAATTTGTATTACTATTTATTGAATTGATTTTTGGGGATTTTTTTTTTCATTTATTTTCGTGAAATTTTCGTAAAATAATTTTTTTTTTCGTATGAAAATAGTATTTAGTACTCATTTTAAACCAAAACAGAACTGGTGTGAAGTTGATTTTGGGCGGTCGCTTAAAAAATATTAACGAAATTCTTACCAGGAAAGTATCAAGGTTTATCAAAAATAACCAGTCTCATTTATGAACATAGAGTAATTTTATTTTTGTTAAATAAACGATGAAGTTCTATTTGGTTTAACATCAGAATTCTCCAGTGTTGTTATTGGCGCCGAGGACGTAACTGCACTCACTGGTACTCACACCAATTTCATAAAATAAACACTTGAAAGAGCAGCACTTACAAGAAAGGTGGCCGCACTTCCAAGGCGCCCGTAACTGCTCTGGAATTCTCAAAAGATTCATCTTGCTTTTTGAATGAAAATGAAACACATAAAATTTACACGTATTACACATTTTGTTTTATTTATTTTGATTTTTATTACAAGTGTAATTGTTGTCAATTGAATGTTGGCCATCATTTTCTTTTTTTTATTAATCAATGTTTTCGTTCATACAAACAAAAGAGTCAAATCATTTCTCCTGGATTGAATAAAGATAAAAACATAAAAAAAAACATGCAGAACATTTATGTACATTTGAATAGGCGTATTGACGAAATGAAAAGATGGATGTGATGATTGAATGAGTTCTAACAATTTCAAAAATTCCAAAAATTTGTGATTGTGGAGGACTAATTTTGTGCTTGTTTGCTATCTATCACCACTTTGTGGCCGTTAAACTTAATATCATTGTTTGTCTGCAAAACTGTACTCACATTATTCTTATTTCAAAATCGGTATAATTTAAAAGAAAAAAAAGAGCTACATTTGAAAATTAAAAATAAAACCACATATCGTGATCTATCCAAATGTCAGCAAACTTGCGGATCAAATACCGGGCAATGTTAAAAAAAATTCACATAAAAAACAGACTTTCGTGATTAGTAGACAGTAGTCCGACATTTGGATAGTTCACTAAATCTATTTGATGTCTTCTTATCAATTACGAAATGCATTTTCATTGGAACCGAAATCGTGTATAAACAGACACATTCATTGAATGTGACCAATTTAAATAAAAATCCATCATCAACAACAACAAAAAAAACGAACGAAACAGTTAATCATCTAGCACCTGATTGTTCCTATCAAAATGCTACACGGAATTTGTTAAATCTTAAATAGCACAGTGTTAATTAAATTGGTGAAATTTCTTTCTATCAATGGGATGAAAATCTTGTGGCTACAAATACTACATAAAAATAATACTGTTGTTTTGTTAGCAACAAGACTTTGTGTCTCATTCACATGAATTCAAGCGTTTAAGCAATTGCACCAAACGATAAATTAAATCGCGCATAATTTTTTGAATACTCCAATCGTTCATTTTTTGAAATTTTCAATTTTATTTTTGTTGTTGTTTTGCTTTAATGACTCTTAGGTGCTAGATTAAATAGTTTGCAATTTGAAATACATTCCTACAAATTCGATTCCAACATATAATGGATGAATTGAGTTTTTTTCGCCCATTCATCGATTGATTGTCTTACTTCCTCGTATCATAATACAGTAAATTGATAACTCTAGTGACCTAAACGTATTAAATAATCGCTTCAAAGTGGCCGACCCGCATTACCGTAGACTGGCCTATCTGGAAGTTTTGGTGGCGCATTCTGATTCTGATTCGGACGACTGGAAAAACAAATCAAATACAAAGGAAAAATAAACAAAATCAAAATTGTGTACAACTACGAAAATGTTAAATTATGCAAATGATTTAAGGTGCTGAGCAAAATCAGAGACTGCTTCTCAGAGCAATTATATTATGGGTAGGTGTCGGAAAAGCCAAACTCCTCAGAGACGCTTTTCCTCACATTTATTGCTTTGAGAAACAGTCTCTGGAAAAAAATCTAATAAAAAACTAGTCTAAAAGTGCATTTTTGCTCAAGAGCAAATGGTATCAAGGCATGTACAAGCATTTAAAGACATTGGAGTCATAGGAGCATTTTTTGTTATCAATTTATCGTAAATGTTGAAAAAGTAAAGCTCTATCGTCAATCGCATTTTTTTTACACAGGCCTTGATTCGGAGCATAACTTGTGAAAAATGTGTTAAAATCATAGGAACTCTCGCACTGAATGGGATGCGTAACTAAAATAAAGCGCATAAAAAGGTGCCCTAGTAAGCTTAATCTACTGTGAATAAGTGCATGCTATCAATTGAATAATAATTTGCTCGATCTACTGCAATCTACCGTGTTACAATTCAAACAAAATGCGATATTATACGGTCAGACTCTGGAAGTTCGAAGGAAATTTGTGCTTCGAATCGTCAGAGTGCAACAGTAATTGAAACGTTCAAAAGAAGATTTGAAATAAAAGGTTGTTCAGAGAACGAAAAATGGAATGAAAAGCGTTTGAATTGTTGAATTGTTTTTTTTTTTGGTTTGTTATAATTTATTTTAAAATTTAATGTTGATTTGTTACCATTAAGTGATAAAATAATCATATAATTTCATTTTATGCATTTTCTCCTTTCATTCATATAATTGGTATGGCTAGTTTGTTTAGTGTTCTCGCTTGGTATATCCGTGTATTAGATTTCATTGCAACTAAATATGATTTGGTTTTTAGCATTTCGGCAAATGCACGTCTGAGCGTGTTTTTGCTCCAAAGGAATGCTTCAATTGTTGATAGTTTTACACAGAGTATTGTTCAGCGCTGCTGCCATCCACAGCATATTAAAATATCTTGCTGAGAATGCGTTGTCCGTCGCATGCGAAGTGACGTAGCAGTTTTTACATCACAGCGGACAACAATACATGCATTGTTCTTTATACAATCGTTCGAATGTTTTGAGTCACATAATCGTGAAGAGAACAATGCATGCATTCTTGTTTGCTGTGATGTATAAACTGGTACGTACATTCGCATGCGACGGACGACGCATTCTTAGCAAGATATTTTAATATGCTGTGTGGATGGCAGCAGCGCTGAGCAATACTATACTCTGGTTTTACAGTTAAAATTTTACTCGAAAATTCCGTGAATTTGACGTGCATTCATTTTAATTTGTGTGTGTGTGAGTGTGAAAATGTCGTGAGATTAGGTCGATCGTTGATGAAATTTTGGAAATGCAATTTGTACAAGACATGCACGCGCACACATCATTCACCGTGTAAGAATCAACACAAACATTGAAATGAATGAGTCCATATAGATGATGAGATTACACTGACCGATTACATTCAGGTAGATATTATTGAATTGTTATTGTTGTTTGTTGCGTTAGAACTGATTTGTTCAATTAAATCTACTATATAATTTTTTGCGTATGCACTTTTTTTGTGTTGTTGCTTTAAATCTACGTGAAATAAATCGCTGTTGCAGAATGCACAAAATAAAAACTATAAGTCAACATGTCAATTTATTTAATTCGTGCACGTACGCTTTGGGCCACGCATTGAATTGTAATTTTATGCTGCTCATTAAATATAGCTTCATTTTGAACTTTGTTTGTTTTTAAATACTATGCAAAAGTATATCGTATATATATATATATGTTTTGTTTAGTTTATTATTTATATGTGTTATACATGTGTGGCTTTTTATTGAAATAATGAATCGCCATCGTGTGCGAATGCATAAATTGAGACTCGAAAACTGTTAAGAATTGTTCAATTGATTTCAAATCAAGAGGAACGATGATGAACAGAAATTGGATGATAGAATTGATAAAATGATCGGTGGTCATGTGAAACACAAATCAATTCGGAAATCGACTTTTGAGAGAAAAAAAAAGGTTTCAAGTCATAATGAAGCATATTTCTGTTTGTAATTTAATTCAACTTTTGATTAATTTTGTCGGTTTAATTCATTCTAAGTCAATACATATCCTATATAATGTTCTACAGCCAATTAAATTTTGTTTTTTTTTTTCTATCATTAAATCATCTAGAATGTCTGATTTTGGAATGCAATTTTAGTTTTCCTCAAATTGAAACGAATTTTTGGATTATCTAAGATATAGAATTTAGTTTAAATATAGTGTGTGTTTTTTTAAAATTTACAACAACAGCAAAAGATTTGGTTTTTTTTTGTCTTTCAAGTGTCTTTTTCGATGGATTTTTCATAAAATTTCTCTTATAACTCTTCATTCCTAAATATTTTCCCCACAACAAGCGGCAAAGAGCAATTTAATGTCTGGGTGTTATAAAGGGATGCCAAAGAATGCTGTGGGCATTTCTTTGATGAGATCGGTGTGCCCACAACATATGATCGCAAAAAAATACTCTCTCGGTGAGGATTAAAAAAAAGATTAATAACTCCTTAGCTAGGAAAATATTTGCGCATTTTATAGAATACTTGTCATTTTCTCATTGTTCTTTTTTTCTCTTTTCAACTGTTGAATGTATTTAAAATAGACATTTAATTTGATAACATGGAATTTTAAAAGTATAACAGTATTAGTGCATGATTTTTTGTGTGATTGTTGTTTTGTTCTCTTCAAGATGTGCAAAAAAAGCTAACAAGACAAGTCTACATATGTTGTATGTTCACATAGTAATTGGTTTTTTGTTCCTTTAAACAGCTAACAAGTTTGGTTAATTTGGTTAATTTTTAGCGAATTATTTTCATGTTCAAAAACAAAAGAGTGTCAATCATTGCACAAATCACGGCCGTTGCCGCTTTTTTAGTATTAAGTTTTATAGTTAATTTCAATATATATGATTTTAGATATGCTGTTTTAGTGAATTCAAATTACAAATGCATTTGACAGAAAAAATGCAACCAAAAAATATATATTTATATATTTTTTTAAATTTTAGCGCATCCCAATGCGAATTGAATCCAAACTTCATCATTTTTTTTGTGAACTTATATATATTAAGACCTAAGTGAAACATCGTTAGTGTATTTTGCTCTCCTTTTGTTTGCAAATGAATGTGTTTTGTTTTTTATTGTTTTAAAATATATATTTTTTATAGAAGTGTTTACTTGAATTTGCTGGCGAAAACACTAGATAGTTCATTGACGGCAGCATTTGTGACCGCTTGACCAACAGCCTGATTTATTTGTTGTCGCATTTGTGCTGGAATTTGTGGTTGATTTGGAACGCGTCTGTGTACGGATTTATAGAGGAGAAGTGGGAAGAAAATGAAAAAAATAATAATAAATAGATTTGATGAAAGCACACGGTGTCCGTTGTGTTTGTGATTTACAATTAATTGAAATTATTGCGAATTGAGTGCTCTTATATGGAGCATGATAAAAAGGGTTTAATAAACGCGAAAATGAACGAAATTAAACGATAAAAATGCCAAGCGAATTTCATCGTATTTGGGTGCTTTGTGTGATCAACTCTGTCGGTTGTGATCAAAAGAAGAAGAAAACCGGTCAATTTCACGCATGATTGGCATTAACTTGTTCATTGTTTCTAAAACTCTACATGTTAAATTGCTATGAGAACACGCTATTATATTAATACATTCACACACATTACACATTTGAGTTTGAAATGGAACTGATTTCATTTTAAACATCTTCTTAAATGCATACAAGACATGTGACAACTGAAGCCAAATATGTTTATTTGAGTAAAACTTTAAGCACCTCTTGCTCTATCATTCTTTGCTTAATTTATATATTAGATAATTATTTTTTATCGTTTAGTAAGTAATGTTAAAATGTGGAGACAACTGAATTGATTGAAAGAGAAAAAATATAGAAATGAAAGCAACCAAACAAAACACACATAGATTATTAATTGTTTTTTTTTTCTATACAATTTTCGGGGCTTCTCTAACACCAATGTTTTTAATATAAATAGGGTGCACCATTGAAATGAGTTTATAATATATGTGAAGCGACATCGATTTGATGGGATTTCGTTGGTGTCGTTTTTTTAAACAAATTGACAAATATATTTCTTTTAATTCATTTTAATTATCATAAGATTTTATTCGATTTTGTACTCTACGTAAAATGTAAATGGGGGAATAATGTTGCATTGGGAAAATGTATGTTAAAAGCCACATTGAGGGAAAAGCGTGTATGAGTGGTGCAAACGGTTTGTTTAGTGTAATGAGAAAATGAATTTGAAATTGGTATTGGGCAGGAAAACATAAGAAAAAAATGGGAAGTTTTGTATTTACGACATTTTTTTTTTTTCATTTTGGGTTTTTTCCCGGTCTTTACGAATTTTAACTTAACACCAGTTTATTCTTTACAGATTGGTTTTTCTCATGTTTTGTTTTGTTATGTACAATGTCAACGTATAAATTATTAGCCTTGAAATTCTGATCGGATCCATCAAAAAATGGCTTGGGTGTATGTGTTTTTTATTTTCTCTTTTTTTTGCATCACTTTTCGGCAATATTCATATTTCAACAATCACTATTTCTAGCATAACTTTTGTGTCATTAAATATATATATAATCTTTTTAGTAGTTTCTCATTTAAATTCAATAACATTCAATAGATAGGTGAATTTTTATTCAAAATATGCGATATCTCATATTTATTTATATAGCATTTTTTTGTTTTCTATTTTTTATATATTTTTGTTTTATTTAATGGGTTTAAGTTTTAATTGCTGGGTTAGTGATGAGCTTAACGCCTCCTGCAAATAATTTAGTGTTTGATTCGATTAGAATGAAGAACGGCAAAACAATGAAGAAAAAAATGAGATCAGATGATTGTCGTTGTATGGATAGTGCGAACAACATAAATTATAAAGAATTTTATAGAGACAGTAACTAAATTGAAACCATAAAAAATTCCCACAAACGAAAACTTTATGTTAGAGAAAATCTTATGTAAATAAATATAGAACCCCCGAAAAATAATTGCATCACTTTCCATCGTAGATGAGCAATCAAACTGTGATTTTTCAGTGCTGTAAATTTATAGAAGTGCACAAAAAATTGAAATTGAAAAATCAAATTTAAGCCGATTTTCAGTTTCCACATCACAAAGATCTATTCGGCTTTTTTTGCCATAAATGCACTCCAATGATTGAAATGTGTTTGAATTATTATTATAATAATCGTGCTCTATTTGTTTTTTATTCGTTTGAAGAATTTAAATAAAAATCACTTGGAAAAATAAATAATGCGAATTGAATCGAATTGAAAAGCTTGAAAATGAATTTTAAAATTAAAATGTAAAAAATTGGAAAAAAATTGTGTGTGTATTTTAATTGATTGAATGACTTACGCTGGGATTAATGGTGGTGGCAAAGCACCGCCTGGTCGACCTTGTGGAGCGCCTGGTCCAGGCCGATTTGGAATTGATGGAGCAGCACGATTTGTTACTGGTGGTGGTGGAGGTCCTCGAGCTCCAACCTTTAACCAAAATGGAATGAAACGATTTTTATATAAAAAAGAAATTCAGCGCCCGGTCGAGTATTTAAAATAAAATGATTGCTTACCGCAGTTGGTGGTGCCATTTTTCGTGGTCCACCTGGACTGGGTGGTGATAATTTTGGATTATCCAATGCACTTGATAACCAATCATTTTTCACAGGTGGTGGAACTGGCGTTCCAACTGTTGCCATTGATACATCACCTATTTGACAAAATCGAATTAATCCACGTTGAATTTTTCACATTTTCTTTCATTTCTTCTTTTGCAAGTTTTTCAAGAATATATTTTTTTTCCAACGGTTTTTATTAACTTACCAATAATGTGGAGTGCTTCTTTGCAAGCATGGTACATTCTCAACATTCCTTCGCGTTTTTGTGCTTCTTCTGGACTTTCTTCCATCATTTTATTCTATTGAAAAAATGATCGAAATTTATTAGAATTTCAAACCTATTAAGAAAACGAAGTGTTTTGAAAATAAAATAAAATCGAAACTAACTTGATCACCAGATGCATATAAATGGGCTAATAGTTCGCCGTTGATGAAATCTTTGACATTGTTGATAACAAGCATCATAATTGCCTTGGGTACCATGTCGCGTGTAGTTTTGGTAACAATGCGCATATATGAATCGACCAAATTGCGAATAGTTTCGACTTGTCTTTCAAGCATTGGATCCAGTGAAGTGGTTGACTGTTCGCCTTGTTCCTGAAAAAATGCCATTCAAATTTTCCACTTTAGTATATGATTCCGACAGTGTAATGTACAACACGATTACAAAGTATGGAGGAAAAAACATGGACATCGTGTGAAAAATTGTTCATAAGGTGAAATTTGATAAAAAAGATAAAATGTACTGCGACAAAATATTGAGATCAAAGCTCATTGGTCCATTCATTGTTGATGTTCTTTTTTATGCCTCCACGGCGATTTACATGCACAAATTTTGAATCGATTATTGAATTTTTATGTGCATTAGCAATGGAAATTTGTGCATTAATATTTTCCCATAAAAAATGTCTATGACTATGAAAGGCATGCAAATCTTAAAATTCCAAAGAATTTTTTAATTCCATAAAATGTATGCGATTTTTTTTTCTTAAATTTAAACCAAAAAGACCTTTTTTCGTAGGAATTAAAAAACGTAAAATAATCTTGCTACAATAGAAGTTTAAAAAGGAGACAAATTCGAATTCTCTAAGAAAAACAAAATCATGTAAATGTGTAATGAGTTTTGTGTGGTGTATGTCTGTGTCTATGATTAGTATTACTGTGTTTTGGCATGTCTTTTAAATGTTTCGTTATTATCCCAATATACAATATTCAGATTCTAGCAAACATAATACAAGGACAATTTCGTGTATGTGTGTGTATGTTGTTGTTCAAACTCAACAAAAATAAGTGGCAAAATATCATAATTTAAACGAGATAAAAAAAACAATACAAGTTTGTGGATGTGAATTTATATGTTAGCACTAAAGATGGTTAGTGTCCAAATTTAAATTTAAAATAAAAACTGTAAAGGAGTGGAAAACCCGAATGAATATACACACTCAATTGAAAAAGCTTTTGGAATAAACAGAAAAAAAAACACTATGAACAAACCTGCACTCCTTCGTTCTGCTGTTATTCGATCACCGATTAACAAAACACATAATGTTTATTGAGTTTCGATAGAAAGAGAGCATTAAACAAAAAAGGTTTTATTGAAATCAGTAAGTTTGTTCTTTCGCTGGAATTTGTCAAATCGGCGTAACAGAATTAGGATAATAATGAACCTTGAAGCAAACATTTTTCCTACTTTTCTCTTCGCAAATTGGAGTTTTATATAAAAAGAAAGTGCAGAAGAAACGTGAACAAGAGGACTAAAGTGCTTACCTCTTCACCGTTATCACCGGTTTGTTGATCTTTTTCTGGGTAAACACCAGCTCGCAAGAATGATGCCTTCCAAGAATCAACGTCATCAACACTTTCACACGATAATTCTAACTGTTTGTAGTCTTTGTAGACATTTCGACCGTCCGGATTGAATAGAGCGAATGTGTGTTTGCGTGACATGAATCCTTGTTCAATGTCACGAAGTTTCAATCCATCCAAAGGTAACATGAATTTTTTCTCTTTTTCATCTTCATCTTTGTACCAAGATATGCTTTCCGATGTCAATACGAACCAATAGGGCCGTGAACCACCTAAATTTTGAACAGAAATTTTCATTTAATTTTAATAAAAGAGGTTGAGGTCGCGCATGCACTTTGTCATTCATTCTTTCATGGCATTATTTTGTATCGAATCGAGAAATTGAATAGATGGATGTTGTAAATCTATTTAATTTTTAGACTCAAATATGCGGTGCTGTTAACAGAAATCGGAAGCGGTGTCCAGGCATTTAACACTTGCGTTAGTCATATGTATGGGTGTGAGAGGGGAGAAGTGATAATCGAAAATAAATTCAAATATTACAAACCGAAATAAAAATGTCTTATAAAATGCCAAACAACTATCCATTTCATCAACCCCCAAAACAACACAAAATAAATGAAAAGAATTAAAAACCAATATCTTTTAAATTGAACTTTTTTTTTTGGTATAGTCCAGTGACCGGTTCGCGCATATTTCTATGCTTGCCTAAATACGCTAGGTAGCATAGATATGCCAAGCATAGCCGCAAACGCAACCGACGCATCGCCGTTCACTCTATATGAACAATGCACATGTTCGTTTATGCAGACGACCGTGCGCATACAATATATAGCTCGAATCGAATGGCGACGGGTGCGTTGCGGCTTGCGTCTCCGCTATGCTTAGCATAGCTATCAGGCATAGAAATATGCGCAAACCGGTCACTGGTATAGTCCCATATTGAGCTAAGATTCTATTTTGAAAATAAAAATAATCAAATGTCATAAAAACATCTCCTAGTTTGTGCTAAACAAAATTCTAGCTCACTTGGTTACCGCCTGGTCATTTTGATTGATTTCATTTTTGTTTAATTTCTCTCTATCTTACCTTTCATAATGCCCAAATTTTGAATGCACAAATTTCCCTTACGAATTACTTGATTGCCCAATGTTCGGGTACCAGATTTATTTGGATTGCTGTCAGATTTATTTTGAGCGCTAAAAATCCAAAAAAAAAATTAATTCTGGAAACATCAAATGTGAGCGATCGGTCACTTACTTGGCAAATCCAATGAAATCCTCGTGATTGGTATTCATGTAGGCTAATTCAAAATCGATGAGCAATAAAATTTGTTCTTTGGCCAATTGCTCTCTTTGACGAATGTACGAGGTAATAATACTTTCGGCCACTTCACGTAAATTTGGATATCTCGACATCTGAAAGTGGATCGTTTTTTTAATACGGTAGATTCTAAACAAAATTCATTTTCAACCAACCTTATCAGTACAGAGGCGAACGACAGTTGAGAGTTCTTGTACGACCAAATCGATACATTTCAGAATTGGCTCTTTGAGCTGTGATATTTGCTTTTTCACAATAGCTTCAAAGGCCATATCTGGTGTGAATAGACCAACCCGAATACCGTGAATGTTACGAATGGCAAATGAAATCTCACGTCGCAGCTCTTTCTCATCACAACACATCTTAACGATTTCGAAGCGTAAACTGAAAGTGATCAGAGCAAACAATCGATTAAATTAGAATAATCATATATTCGATCAAGAAAAGAGCACTCACCGTTCATGGAATATGCGGTTAATTTTAGCACCACCTGACAGTTCATTTGTATTAACAAGTGCTGAACCAGATCCTTCAATCGTGCGTTCGAAATCTGATTGCAATTGTTGGATCATTCTATAAGAAACAATAAATTTGAATAAATTCATGCTCATCTATGTTCGACATCAATTAACATAAGATACGTACTGCAACATAGCCTTTGTTTTGATGCTTGGATCGTCTGGTCGAAAGTGTTTGAATTGTTCGACCTCTTTTTCCAGCGAGAGCATTTGTTTTTGCAATTTATCACGCAAACCGGGCAGCGTATCACGAATGTGATTGGTTAGCTGTTGATTTAAAATGCGTTGTAAGTATGGTGTACCCAAGCGATCGGCGATATGCCGATATGAATCATGACCCAAGAAGAAATCACGTTCGGCTTTCAATGCTAGCGTTATGTCTTTTCGACCTTCAATATCTTTTTGTGAACGATTCACCACACCAATATAGCCACGACGCAATGGTAACAATTTATTTTCCAAAATATCACGTGCATCGGTGCCTTCGTCCATCAAATCTAATTTTGTGATCACACCAATTGTGCGAATACCTTGTGGATCGACCTCTTTCGCCAATTTCAATGCATCCGAATTGGCCAAATCGGTGTTTGCCGGTGTAACTGCTAGAATGAGACAGGTCTCTTTGCGAATGAATTGATTGATCATCGCTCTAATTTGTTGCTCAATATCGACGGGCTGATCACCAACTGGCACCTTTGTCAAACCCGGCAAATCGATCAATGTCAAATTCAATACATTTGGTGAATAAACGCGCAAATTTATCGGAATATTCGAGATTCCCTTGTTGCTACCAGTTATTCGATCCGTTTCAGCCTCGATTTCCATACGAATCTCACTGAAATCCATAAACTTTTTACCTTTGCAATGCAAGAATTCACCAAACTCTGCAACAAACATTACCAAAACAGAAATTATTTTTTAAAAAATGTGTCCAATTTATTTGTGGAATGGTGAAAAAATGCGATAGATTACCTGCTGGAGCATTAATAAGCTGAAGAATCAAAGGTCGTCGAGTTACAATACCAGAACCTCGGGGCAAAAAATCTCTGAAAACACAAACAAACAAGTATTAGATTCCGCTAAAAAATACTATCATTGGCCTAGTCATTGGCTGATAGCACAATAATATTCTGTTGCCAGCTCATTGAAACAAGAAAAAAAAAACATGATAAAGTCATTAGTTAGTCAGCAGTTAAATTCATTTAAATTTCTCTCATCACATGAATTAAATGTTCAACGCCCTCTTTTCATATTATCAGCAAAGCATAACAAAGAAAAAGGTCTACGTCCAATAGGGACCTGTATCAAAAATTCTGTTGATTTGTCTAGCGAAAGTTTCCCCGAATGAGTTTTGAGTTTAATAAAAAAACATGTGGAAAGCAAGAAAAAAACAGCATATCTTTCTGAACTTTGACAGAAAAGCTAAACTTGACCATTGAAACCACAATGCGTTCTTTTATCACGCAAAATGTATCGTCCCCATATTTCGATATACCAAATATCTAGATGCATGTATTCGAAGCGCCCACGCAAAAATCGAAAATATACTATATTCTTCGGATTGTTATTTGAGCTTGTTTTCTTTCGCATGCACCTATGATTAGACGCTTTTGGGCAATTTCAATAGAGAACAAACAAAAAAAAACTAAAACAAATACATTATCTCGATTATTGAAGCAAACAGAATTCATGTTGACGTCAAAATGTAGCATTTTTTTCTCTCTCTTGGATAAATAACAATGTGTTGCGATTCAATAAAACGAAAGTAATGCCAGATACATTGTATTTGTTTCCGTATTTACGCAAAGAACACACTACACAATAAACTGTGTGTGTGTTTTATCTCTTTCTCGTGCAATCTCGAGTCCATATTTACATGTTTTGATAGAAAGAATATAAAACAACAGACATAGACAGTCTTAAAATTATTATTTTTTCTTTCTCGTTCACTACACATCAAATGAAAATGAATCTGAGACAAAAGATTGTGTTTCAAGCATTCATTTCATATCATTCGATATAATCAGCTGAAATGAGTCGTAATGAGTACAATAACACTTTGCCCGCCGATGTAAGAACAACCAAGAAAATCTTGTATTCTAATAAATGTCTGTTTTTACGGTTTTAAATCATTGATAACGTAATTTTCGTTTCGTTTTTTTGCGAATTTCTCATCTTTTTATTCTCGGAAATTTACGATGTAAGTACGATAATCAGGGATCGGAACGGAATGTTACAAAATAATTCAAACAAAAAAAAAGTAACAAGGCAAAACGCATGAAATGATTAGCAAACGCAATGATAAATTTCCCCTTCAAACTATAACACTCATTCCATTGCTCATTGTTTATGAATTCGTGTTTGGCCTTATCATCATCGGAAGCTGCATTTTTATTATTTTAATGGTTATTATTATAATATGAAAGACAGTTTTAGTTCGTATGTGAAAATATTATCAAATGAATGACAGTCTCCCAGCATAAATCGTTGAATTGACGCTGGCAAAAACCATGAACACTTAATTAAACCAGTACCATGTGGTGGAACATTTACTTTTTGTTTTTTTCCGTTTACATTTTAATTTGAAACAGAGCAACACCGTTTGTCAATTGGTTGTAATGAGATATGCCAGCATTATTGCACACCAATCGTTTTTCAGCTTATCGTAAAAGTCACATTTTGCATGCGAAAAAATCATGAATCACCTTTCGTGTAATATTTGGCATGAGATGATTCATTATTATCATATGTTTCACACATGTGTTTTAGCTTCTGACGCATTTTTGTCGAAGTGGGTTCAAAATACTGAACTCAAAATATGTTAAAATATTGTATTCTCAAAGTTATGCTTGTAACGAGAACTAAATACATTTTATCTACAAATTGGAGAATGCAACCAATTTCAGAGATGAAAATTAAAGTAACCTATGTGCCATTTTCAATTTCTCAATGTGAGTGTTTGCAAAAATATCGTCATTTTTGCCTCTTGCCGATATAGAATTGTTCATTTCGCTTATAAAATGCAATGTGACGCGATATGCCGAATGCAAAATACATGTCATCCATTTCTATATTGCATAACGAATTTTAACTATGTACAATTTTTCCGTTCTGTTTTCCTCACAAAATCGGTTGATGTATGTGGAAATCAGGACACATACTACTCAAATGCTGTATAACTCATGAACTGTGCATGAATCCATTTGGTGAATGCAAACACAAGAAAAATCGATCGTTATGAATGTATACCGTATGACCGTTTGGGAAAAATTGGAGCAATCGATTGTTTTGAATTTTGAACGTCTTTTTTTCTCGGGGGATGGGGTACATTTATTAAGTTCAAATTCATTCAGTTGTTTTGCTTATAACCGTGTCGTTGGGTCAAGAAACGGTTCCATTGCAATGAATTTTTCATGTCAATAGATAAGCCTTTCTTCAATTACTTTCAAAACAAAACAGATAAATATGAATAAATAAGGCAACTTTCGAGTAAATGTTGACGTGTGACATCAATGAATGAGTCACTGTTTGATCTTATCCGCTTATCACTCATTTCTCTTTTTTTGTTTGCTTCATTCAAATGTTGTTCAAATTGTTTACTGTGAGTGTCGATTATATTTTGTATATTTTTGGTAAGTGAGACGGTTTGTAAACATAAACTAATACTTGTGGCCGAAATTTTCATTCGACCGATATCGTGACAAATGTTTATCAGAAAGAAAATTTATTTTTAATTTTTTTTGAAATTAATGTTCTATGATGATCAGCACAAGCATTTGTAGTCACGACTTTGGGACACCCGACACAAAACAAAACAAAAGCATCATTAAATTGATTGAATGCGAAAAAAAAAACGTTGCAGGCAAACAAAGCGAGAAAATAACAATAAAGAGAGATTCCGAAACGGTTAAAATAATAACGAATGTCAAACGCACTGCTAATTTGTCTCGAACACGATGTGTTTGACATGTGTTTGTGTGCGAGCACGATTGCAGTGCACACACATACACACAATCAACGAAAAAATAAAATATGATGAGATCGGAGGATACTTGCACAAAGTGTAAATTCGATGATATGTGATTCTATGTGATATTTAAAACGGTATGTATGGGAGAGTCGTTTGCCTTGCACACATTGTACAACATTATTGTTTTATTAATTAAATTGAAAACAATTGAAATGGCATCAAAAGGGGTTTTCTTTCTCTATCTCTTTCTCAATATGGCATTTCGTTTTTAATATTTTATTGTCTTCTTTTGTCTGGATGAATTGATTTCAAGTTGTTGTCATCATCGTCGTCGCTGTTGTTATTTGCTCGCTTTACATGCATAAAACTATTATTTTAATTTAATTAAAACACAACTTTATTTTACGACAAAAATCAATACTATTTCATTAAAGAAGAAGTGATCTGTTTTTTCAATCTGAAAAATGATAAATAGATGTACTATTACTGGTTTTATGAGATTTTTGACGTTAGATGAGATTGCTATAAACAATCATATATGATTCATTGTCCGTGGCATTGTGTCATTCAAAACGAAGCACACTGAAGCATATAGAGTTTGGTTTTTTTTGTATGTGGATCTCTTGTTACTGTTAATTTCTGATGAATCAAGCTTTGCAAAACCAATTAGAAACTGATAGTTTCCACTATAATTACTGTCGTGCATTTATGAGTCATTTCTAATGCACTACTAATCATTTCAATCGATACAATTTATCAGTATCAATTTATTTTCTTCAGCTGGATTGAAAATAATTTACAGCAGCAATGACGTTTGTTATGAATAAAAAAAATTACATATATAAATGTATATGGAACATTCCATGTACGTTCAATTTATTGATTATTCATAAAACGGCAGTTCTCCACCAAAACACTTACGTTTTTATAACGCAACGCTGTAACACATGGAGAGTAAGCGAAAGAGAACGAAATAAGAATAAACAGGCTCAACATAAAATGTGTTTGCGTCATATGTATTGGTGGTGATGGTGCGATTGGCAAAACGTTCATTCATCCAGAGTTGTATGAACAACGAAGGAACAAACTATGTTTCTTTTCACAGAAATGTGAGATATTTCTGTGTGTGGATTTGTTGTTGATTTTCTCGCTGTATTCTATCGTGTACATATCTTCCCTTATTATTGACCATAGCACACGAAACTGGAGCGTTAATTTGTGTGTGTGTGCTTGTACATGAGGTGGATACTCATGGATATGCGCGCACTGTATTTTGATTCAATATATTTGCTATGTGACATATAACCTTGTGCCTGTCTATGTTGAAATGGGTGGCTCTCTCTCACTAAAATGTGTGAGTGTGTGTATGCATGTTTTCGATCGAAAATTTAGAAAGTGGCATAAAAGCTCCAGGGTTGATACACCATACACTAACACACAAAATTGCCCTCCAACCCACGGAATTTTTTGGTATGACTGAAAATTACAATTCAAATGCGAAGCAAATATTCGCAGCCCTGCGAAATTAAATGAGAAATAAGACAACAAAACCAAACTGGATAGTGCTCTTCGTTTTGCGTTTTTTCATTCTTTCGTTCGTTGTTCTTGCCTTCACTTTTTTTTTTCGCTCTCTCTATTCTTCTTTGTGTTATGTCAACTAAGACAGTTTGAATGACGTTTTAACGATTTTTTTTCGCAAACTACAAGCAGAGCGACGACGGCGACTATGATGATTCTTCTTTTTATTCCCCCAAACAAAATGAACTCTTTTCTTCTCATGCCAATATGAAACATTAAAATCTTTTTTAGAACACACAACTACCTGATGACGTGATTTACGTGGATTTGGACGCGCTTCAATTAAAATCACCAAATCCATTTGTAGCACACAATGAATTTTAATAAATAAATGAATTTTAGATAAAAATGTTCGGAATGTTAATCCATACAACGTGTGTGTGTGTATGTCTGACACAGTATAATGTGATGTCAATGACAAATCGAAAACACTTGCTGTTTGTAATTGTCATTGTTAACGAAATAAATTGATAGCAGTTGTTGTTTTTTCCCTTCGTCTTCGCTTTAGTCAACCGAAAAAATTGGAGCACTGACTTTTATGTATGTCTTCTCTGTGTGTGTTTTTTTTTGGTTACATGTTTTCTTTTGCACAAATTTTACTTACTTTCCGACAAAGTTTTCTAGTACGGATGATTTTCCAGCACTTTGACTTCCGACCACGGCAATTTGTGGCAAATCCAATTGCATATGCACGCCCAATTGTGTGAATGCATCTTGTAGCTTATTTACTATAGGTATTAGCGCTTCCATGCCCGTGTTACCCGACATTTTCTGTCGAGTTTGATTTTTATCCGTTCGATTTCACCCACTAATCAAACACAAACAATTTCAATTTTACACTCAACTTTGCTTATCTATTCCTATCGCAACAACGCTGTTGTTGTTGCACTCTATTGCTTCTTCTTCTTTTTCTTTTTTTTGTATCGTTGTATATTATTATTATTTTTTTTTTTTTTTTCAATAATTCGGCGTGCAGCTTCTTTTTGCTTAACCTATGTTGTGCACCATACACAATATTTTGTTTTCTTTAACTTCTTCTTCGTTGATTTTTTTTTCTATGCTCTTCACTTCCTCGATTTATTGCTTTTGTTTCCTATTTACAAGAAATAATACATATTTTCGATTAGTTGTGATTTTTTTTCATTCACTTTACTGTGCAATGAACTATGAAAAACGCCACCGAAAAAAATTTAATCAGCACAAAACAAACATAACAAAAATATATAATGGTTGATAGCTCAACAGAAAAAAAATCGACACACAAACGAATGAACGCAAGAAATCAATGAATCTTTTTTTTCGTGTGATATATCTTGAAAGAAAAATCGAGAATTTTTTTTCGAATGATCTCTAATCATATTCAGATGTGCATAACACTTGAATGATGACTTTTGGTGCAAAGGTTACCCAATTTCGACTTTTCAAATTTTATTCAGCCAAAATCATTTGAAAAAATTCTCAAATTTTTCTATCTCTCACTCTTGTTTTTCCACATACACGGATTATTACTTCTTTTTTTCTCTGTGGAGAGAAGGCAACACTACAATACGAACACTGAACGAAGACTGTGCGCGCCGTATCGTCATCGATGAATATTCGCTTGAATGTATGAAAGAGTGAGAGCGAAAGCAAGACGAAAATTGACATTGCACATACACATAACACATTGATTGTTGATTGTTTTATGCAATAGAGTGAGGAAGACAGAATTGGCGTCAGAGACAGCGCCAAATTGGTGAGAAGACAACGGCCGTTGAGATTATTATTTTGACACATGCGCACACACTTAAAATTCATCAAATTGATTCTTTCTATCAACACATTCAACGGCGAGAGTAAAATTGGATACCCGCTCTCGCTCTCTATCTGAATTTTGTGTATATTTTGCGTTGGAGTGTGTACACTGTGTGTGTTGCGGCAATAACGATTTTTTTTCGCTTTGCACTATAGGCACGCTTAATATGTCATGTATGTTGATTGTTTGAAAATAATGAAAATAAAACAAATTGCCGCTTAATTTTGGCAAAATTTACAACATAAAAATCAATTTAAAAAAAAAATGATAAAAAATATATCTTATATGAATTTGAACAAAATCACCTTGGATTAGGTCCTAAGTATTATAGGAATACTTGTGATCAAACATCAAATTTTGTTTGGTCGGATGATCGTGGATTAACTTCATATATTCGTTCGAACTTATTTCAATTTTCGTGGTCCAACTATTTTTTTGTTTAAGCTTTTCGCTGTTTTTTTTTAAAAAAAAAAAGAGAAATCTTTTTTATGTACCATTAAACGCATCCGGTGCATATGTAAGGAAACCTGTCACGACTAAGTACTAGTCTTTACTTACTTCGTTTAGTGACATTCTATATTTACCTACGCTACTCGGTGTCTACTGAATCCACTGAAGAAGAGAGTGTGTGTGCTGTAAATTTTGCGTAAAAGTTCTTCGTTGTTTGTTGTTTTTATTTTCTCTCATTCGTTTTTCCCATACATTCCATTTGCTATTTCGAGAGAGTTTTATTTTTGACCTCTTTGTCGATTGAACGACAATAAATTTGTTGGGTGTAAATCATTTTTATTTTTCGATACCAATATACATATATAGATACTTTAGTGAATCTCTCTTACTCATCATGGATGCACAAGCACAACAACCGCAAGAACAACAACAAACATCAACAAAAGTGTTTACAGTTGTTGAAACCAGACATTTATTGAAAATACTAATGAATCCGAAAACTTTGGCGATGTTCAAAGATAATAAACAGTCACATGCCTTCGTTTGGAATTACATCTTTAAGTGTATGAAAATTAAATTTCCGAAATTCGCCAAAAGCACAAGACAGTGTTACAAAAAGTATGTGTACTCGATTGCATTATTTATTCGAATTTCGAATTTGGTTTTGTTTTTCATTTCATTCTTTTGTTCCAGATATGAGAATTTAAAAGGAAAATATTTTGAAATAAAGCGCGCACAAATGAATGGCGAACAGCGACCGTATTGGTTATATTATAATGAAATGGACTACATTATAAGCCATTTTCCCGGACATCGGCCGCGAATAAATATTGAGGCCAGTAATTCAGCAACATCAACTCCAAACGCATCAAATACACCAATTGACAGTGCAAACAATGCAAACACATCAAATAATTCAGATTTCTCGGATATTAAGCCGGTACGGTCTTCATTGTCTGCCACCAACATGGATTCAAGTGAGTAAAACCAATATTCAATATAAATGTCCAAGTGATTTTTTTATTTCATTTTATTTTTAATTCTACAACAAAAGGTGTTTGTTCAATTCATAAATGTCGATATTCCAAAGTGAAAGTGATTTAAAATATATTACATAGTATATTATGTGTGAAAAAAAAAAAAAAAATTCCGTAAATTGAACGAACATTGCTATCAATGATCGTATTTCAAAACAAAGTCAATCTAATCTTGAATTTTCTTATTCATAATTTCCATTTGTTTTTGATGCTCTAATGTTTTGTGTGTTAGTTCGGCTTTGAGAATGGCAATTTCAAGTTGATGCTTTTCGTGCCGTAATTTCTTCATATCATCGAACTCCATTTGCATCAGTTTTTTCTGAAATTCGAGCAATGAACGATCGATTTGTGGTCGCTTGTATGACGGTGTTCCTTCGTATGTGCTTGATTCACGCAATCTCTTTGTTGTGACAGGCTTCCGAATGTATTCGTATTCATGGTGTAAGGAACTGTTCTCTTCGACCGACTGGCTTTCATCAAGTTGATTATTGTCCAACTCAAGCTCAACGTATTCTTCACCATCCGATTCGGTCGATTCCATCGGTTCAATTAAATACATGTCATTGCCAGTATTATACGAATCTTGTTCATCATTCGTAATGAAAACTTGAGTGTCATTCTCTTCCATTTCGTTGTCGGTGGACTTTTTTACTTTGATTTGAACCTATTTGGTTGAAAGAAGAAAAAAGAAATCACATGTCATACTTGAACATATCTAGTTTCAATTAAACTTACCATTTTCTTTTTGAATGGTTTGACCATCTCTTCCATTCCGTGTTCACGTTTTATAGTTCTTGGTGCACGAGATTTTACACTTTTGGTTGATTTAATTTTTTCCAGCATGTCAATGTGACGTCTCTATAAACGAGATATGAAACGTTTATTCGTTTTGAAAAAAAAAAAAAAAACAATTTTAAATGTACAAAACGTTACCTTAATATGCTTCAGAATGTTGCCGTTCGATTTAACCGACGTTCTTAGCAACTGAGCATCAGTACCGTCCGGTGTACATATGTTGCACCTATTATGTTTACGACATTAGAACACCCAAGCCAAACACAAATAAAAAAAAAAATATTTTTTTCGTCATAATAACTCACCGAACAATCAAAATATCACCTTCCTGTCCGACCACATCAAAAAATTCACCGTCGTATATTTGTGAATTTGTGAGACTACGATTTAAGCAATTGTCCATATTTCGATTAAATGGACGATAACCAAAGTACGGTAAAACAATGTAAAAACAATTTTTTTCTTCTTATTTGCTTCGCTGCGAGTTTCAATTTATGTAGGCTGAAAATTTTATCGTCTCACACTGTTTGTATTTGTTTATGTTTATTTTGTGCTAACGATAAGTGTTTTTGTTTGGAAAGTCGGAGATACTTTAATTGAAATACGCTACTGTTCGAAATACAGAAATTAATTTTATAAATACCATCGAAATAAAACACTTTAGTCACAGAGTCAGTAGATTGCTTGCAAGTACATACTCAAAGTGAAATAAATGAAAAATGGCGTCGAAAGAACGCTCTGACATTTACCAAAGTGTCACACATACACGCAATAACGATAATATGCCTGGTGCTAAGTAGATTTTTTTGTTGTATATGTATGTATGGACATTGGGAAGCATAAACAAGTACGAATACATTCGCATTGAGCATCAGACAACACTAATGCAAGCGTTTTTGTTTGTAAATACACAAAATCACATTCACGGCGACATTTTTAAGACAATAATTTTTTTTTACCGGAATTCGGCTAGAAATTTCGATTCGATTTTTGTGACGGAATTGATTGTTTACATTTGTCTATTGGTTTTATTTTCATTTCATAGATGATGCAATATTAACACCGTTTATACCGAAGAAAATTCAACTTTTAACCTTAATCCGAAACACAAAACCAGCCGATTTTGAGAAGAAAAGTGATGGTTGGGAATTGGTATTGAAAAAAGCACAAAGCAAAGGACTATATCCATTGAATAAAACTTGGTTAGATTTTTATTACGAAATATGGATTTCAAATGTAGATGATACCATTGTAAGTACGCATAATGCTATACGACTATTTTTTTTAACATGTTTATCGGCATTAATTGCCCGCCAATTTTAATGGCGAATAACACGGTGTGTTTGATGATTACAGTCCAAGTGGGAAGGTTTCAGTACTGGCACACGGATGGTTCGTTATGATGAAGCAGACAAAATCATGTTTGATATACTTAAAGATGACTGGAATGAATTTGGCAACAATTCAAATTCATCGATTCGAATACCAACACTTCGCACATTGCCCGGCTACATAGAAAAATTAAAAGGTAAATATATAATTGTGCACTTCTATACAATGCACAACATTTACTGTTTTCTAAGCAGAATACTCTATCCATTTCTTTCACTTCTTCTTTTTTCCGTTTCATTCCAATTAGATTTGCGACAAGATAACATAGTATTAGAGGAGATTGACAACATTCTTCCCGAAAGGACTGACACTGAATCGTCGAGGGAGGCACATTTTGTGAACAATACGTCGAATAAAAGCAATCGTTTAGAGAACGGTCACTGTTTTACCGAGCCAATACACCATCAGTCTTCGCCGGCCACAGTGCCGAGTCTATTAAATGCCCATGAATCGCCGCTCACTCATTACAGACAACAAGCGTTACAATTGAAAAATCAATTCATCAAAACAAAAATGTCGGCTTATGTTGAGAAGCATAATCGAAAATGTTACAAAATGGATTTGGAATTGTATAAAATCGAAAAAGAATTGGGATTACCGCCGTCGGAATTCACACAAAAATTCTCACAACAACAACAACAACAACAAATTGTCACTGATCATACATCAAACCCGAATCTCAATCTACCAATACCGTCGATGCATCCACATCCACAACAACAACAACCACAAACGCAACAAATAATCAGCAACAATTTACCAAATACCGGACCACAAATACAAACGGTAAATGGTGGCGGCGCCAATGCAAATGCCGTACACAGCCTAAATGAAACATTTTTCAATGTTGACATCAAACGAGAAATGAACTTTGACGATGGCGGAAATTTTGACTTTGTCTAGTAATAAGAATCTATATGAAAAAAAGATATAGCATTTTAAGACAAAAAGATTATTCGATGAGATTTTGCTTCCAAATTCACTTTATAAAAGTATTTTTCATTAAACTTCATTTTCTTTCTATCTTGTAAGATCCAAATTGAATTTTATTTCTTTTTTCAATAAAACTGAAAATTGAAGTATGTATAAATTTCGGCCTTATTTTATGTTTTACACTGTTTTTCTTTTTGTTTTGGATTCTCACACAATTTTTTTTTTTAATTTTAAGATTTTACTTCAAAACAAAATAAAAACAACAGACAGTTATAGTAATAATAAAGTTGTAATACATAAAAAAATGAAAAAAAAAACTATTGATTTTGTTTGTGATTTATGTGTGTGTTTGTTTGTACGTGTATGTGAATTATTTGCTTCGCACATTCTGTGTTCGTATTACACCAGAAACGCCATTCTCGAACTTTGTCTTGAAGATGACATTGGCATTGTTGAACATTCCATCTTTCAGCGAGACAATGATGAACTAAAAAACAGGAGAGAAAAATAATGTAAAATTTATGCAATAAAAGCTTGTGGATGCACAAAAAGTTACCTGTGAATTTGTGAAATGTAGTTTTAACATTCGTCCGATGTTTTGTGTGTGTGACATATCAAGGGCAGCATCGACTTCATCCAAAATATAAATGGGTGCTGGTTTGTACTTTAACATAGCCAGAATGAGTGACAAAGCCACCAATGATCGTTGACCACCCGACAGTTCTGTGAGTGATTCTTTCCACACGCCATTGAATCCAACCTTTATATTCAGTCCATGATAAAATTCCATGTTAGGCGGTGGGACCAACGTTGCTTGTGCACCGGGCAACAAAACGCTGAAAATACTGGCAAAATTTTTATCCACCTCTTGCCATGCTTTGCGCAGTAATTCCATTTTTTCAGCATCCAATCCCTTGAGAATGCCTTTGATTTTCTTTCGATCATTTTCAACGATATCCTTTCGATCTCGCACACTTTTCAATTCCTCTTCTTCGCGCTCCAATAACATCATCGCCTTTTCGTTGATACGTTTCTTCATTTTGTTGTACACTTCATTTTTCTCACGCAACCGATCGCCGGCCGTTTTAGGATTTTCTTTTGAATAATCGTATTTTGTGTTGCGACCACCAAAGTATGTTTCATCAGTTTCAATCCATTTGTGTTGCTCTTTCATCGCGGCCATCACATCTTCATGTTCTTTATTGTCATTTCTTAGTTTTGATACTTCGGTTTCTTTCTTCTTAATTTGCAATTCAAGCTCATCGTTGCGCTTCAACAATTTATCTTTGCGTGCCAATGTCTTTTTCATCTCGCTATGTTTTGATGCAATTGAATCTTTTTGCTCTTTGATACGCTTTTTTAGGTCAGCAATTTCAGCCGATGCCGTTGCACTGGTGCTTATCAATTCGTCCAACTAAACGCATGTTCAAGAATAAATGAAACCGGTTCGAGAGTGAATGTCAACAGTCTCTGCCAAAATTCAATATAATAGTTTGTGCTTACCTTCTTTTGTAGCTCTTCAATATTTGTTTCAGAAGCTTCGGCCTCTTCTTTTGCCTTTTCGATACTTTCCTTTAAACCTTCCACTTCCAGTCGAAGAGTGTCTGCATCCTATGCAATGGACATTCCAAAATTAGCTCAAACACACAAAAATAATAAATTAAAATCAGTTCAAACCTTTTCGTGTTTTTCCCATTCTTTGCGACTCTTGTCTGCTTTCTCCTTCATTTTCTGCATATGATCTTTTGCTTCTTTTAGCTGACGTTCACGGTAGCCTTTGGCATCGGCTAAATTCGCTTCCAAATCTTTGATTTTTGCATTACACGTCACTTGTTCTTCCTTCTTCTCTTGGATTGTCGTTTTCAAGGTTTCTAAATACCAAAATCAAAACAAAAACTCATTACATTCTTGAATAAATCAGAGCACAAAGTCAATTTTACCAATATTATTTCGTGCATCTTCGATTTCCTGTTGATGTTGTTGATAAGATGTTGTTGCCAAGATCTTTTTAATTGTTTCCACTTCATAATTCACTGTCTCAACTTGTCGCTTCAATTGATTGTACTGATTGGCAACGCCTTGGATTCTATTGATTTGATCTTGGACATTTCTTAGTTCGGCCCGTTTTGCATCCAAACGCTTACTGAAATCTTTAATATCGGCCACTTGGATGAGCACTGGTGTCTGCTGTGACTGAGCACCACCCGACAATGTACCTTCTGGATCGAGCACATCACCATCCAGTGTAATGGAACGCGTTAAAATGCGTTTATGATAGGTAACTTGTTTGGCCACCGCCATACTTGTACAAACAAATGTATGACCAAAGACATATTCCATGACAATTTTCAAGCTTGGATGATATGTGATCAAATCGAGAGCTGGTACACAATTTTCTTTGCCAACCAATTGCTGTGCCTCTCTCACTTTGGCCGGATTAATAGTCGAACCACGAATTTTCGTAATTGGAATGATTGTGGTACGTGTTTGTAATTGGCCACGTTCTAAAATCAATTTCGATACAACTTCATCGTCGACGACCAAATTATAGAGAGTACCACCACCGCAAGTACTTAATGCAACATAATATTTTGGATCTTTGACATCGAACAGCTTGCAAACCATTCCTTTGACTCTGTTTCGATTGAAATTTGGCTCTGGATCGCGATACTGAACCTCAAAACGATGACCACCCTTTCGATCTAGTTCGTGTTCCATTTGACGGCATTCACCGTTCAATGTATAGTGTTGTTTTTCCAATGCCTCCAGCATTCCATCTTCGTATTCGATTCCATTCAGTTTTTCCTATTCGAATGGATTGTAGAGAGAAAATTGAAAAAAAAACAAAAAAAAAAAAATTGATTGAAATGTGCTTTGTGACAACGTACCTCAATAGTGTTGACTTCTTTTTCCTTTTGATCCAATTTAGCTTTATTCGTTTGGTATGTTGAATCACTTTTGGTTTGTGTTTTCTCCTTATCTTGTAATAGTTTTGTCATGTACTTCAAGTCCATTTCACTTTTTTTAATTGTTGTTGTTGCTTCGCTCAATTTTGTCTTTGTGGCTAATTTCATATGGAAAATGTCAAAAATACATTAAAAATCTATCTGTCAAAATTGTCAATGTATGCTAGTGTAGTGTGATTAAACTCACTGGTTAATTGTTCTTGAAGTGATGTGGCTTGACCATCTTCGTTCACCTCCAATCCGGCGCTAACCGCTTGGAAACGCTTTTGTGCCTCTGAGAATGCTTTACTATCGGCTTCATCGGCCTCTTTTAGTCCTTGAAACATACCACCGACTCTGCCTATTTTCGCCTCCTTCGATTGCAATGCTTCTTCATCTTTTGACATATTCTTTTGGATCAATTTTAATTTACGTTTTTCAGCATCAACACTTTGGCTGGCACTTTTCTTAGCTCCATTTGCCGTCGCTTCGGTTTTCGATTTGACCGCCAGTTCCTTTTCCAATTCGGCCAATTCACCGCCGGTCTCAGCATCAATACGTTCCTGCACCTCTTGGCATTTTGCGTCAATTGATTCCGTTTCTTGAATATTGTCTTCAATCTCTTTTCGACTGTCGGCTATGAATGTGTCCACTGATTCAAGGGCTTTTTCACCTTTTTGCACTGCCTCTTTATGCATTAAAAATTTATACGAAAAATAGATATGGGTCAAGTGATCAATTTCACGTTTTAACTTTTGAAATTCGTCGTATTGCTTTTGTTCACTGCGTAATTTTTCCATTCGTGGATTGATTTCTTCTTGCAGCAGCTGAAATGAAGTCGTACATCGTCATGAATGAGTATAAATGGAATGCAAGTAGTCAAAACTGTGTATCTTACCGAGTCCATTTCTTTCAGCTTTGAGTCTTTCTTTTCGATAACTTTTGTGGTTTGTTCACGTTTCGTTTCGTATAAACTGGTGCCCGACGCTTCTTCAATCATTGACAAAATCTACACAAAGCCAACAAAAAATATAATCGGCATTGGAACAATTCGAGAATATGTGAATCGCTTACCTCCATTGGTTTCATGTTCAACACTTTTGTGATGCGACCTTGCATGATCAAAAAATTTGGATTGTTCACGTTCATTTGAATGGAACAAAACAGATCGACCACCCTTTTGTTCAGAACCGTACGCCCATTAATGAAATATTTATTTTTACCACCGCCACCGACACATACTTGCCGCGATACGGTGATTTCTTTACATGTTTCATAGCCAACGGGACAATTGTCCGGATCGCTGTTGTCAAATACAATCGTTACCGATGCTTTTGTAATACCGGCTTGTCCATTTTTAAAAATCAACTCTTGCAATGATGTTGCTCGCACCTAAAAACATGAAATCGGACAGCATAAATACACTTAGTAATGCAAATCTAATCGACCCCAACAAATATGAAAGAATTTACTGCAAAATTATTATAGCAGCATTTGCTTACCTGTCCCAAATTGGAAATACCGAGCACAAAACAAATTGAATCGAGAATATTTGACTTTCCCGTACCATTAAGGCCGGTAATTGCTGTGAATTCTTTGTCAAAACCTTCGATTTCGGTTCGTTTACCGTACGATTTGAAACCATCCAGAATCAACTTTTTTATATACATTTTTTTATGCGCACTATTTTTGGCGATCGTTTATTTGACAAATGCTCTTGAGCTAACCGAATTTTCAACACAAAATATCAAAATAAAAAAAAAACTGTTGAACAATATTTTTTTTCGCGCTTTCTAAGATTGACGCTCTCATATGCTTGTGTATAGAATCCGTTTGGTAAAATTTAAAAAACAAAGATGGCGAAAATGAAATGTCAAAACTGAAATGACTGCATGTTATGCTATGTTTATATGGTGCATTCACACGCACAATCAATGAATCAAATTCCCTTAGACATGAATATGAGAAAATTGTTTGTCTTTATTTTTTTTATTCATTTTTTTTTAATGTTGTATTCTGTCAATATAAAACTAATTTTTATTTATTTTAATAGAATTTTCATATTCTTAATGTATCTTAACATTGAAATGATGAAATGTTGATTAAATATGATTGATTTATAATCAATTAGTATGAACCAGGCATTATGCCAGTCGGTTAAAAAAAAATATATAAAAAAATGTAAGTGTAGCGAATTTAATTCGTCATTATTTTAATAAACTCTCTCGAATGAGGTCTCGTTTTGGTGTGCTGACTCGGCAATTGCTGAATACAACTTTGAAGCCATTTTAGACGGTGATGATATGCATGTCGCCATCATATTCGACAGACTTGGCCACGAATGGGTCTTCCATATATTTTTTCAATTCTTCTGGGCTAAGTGTGTCGCCGGATTTCAAACGGCCAATGAAGGATGTGACCGGATGAGCCAAGATTTCTGGAAATGCCTATATTGAGAAAGTAAATGGTTTTATTCCTCGAATGTGTTGCAATATATTTTCAAAGCGTGGCCAACGAATCATTGTCATACTTACACGAATGTTGTTTATGCGAGTTTTGAGAACTCGACCATAGTCGATGCAATAGAGCTGGGCTTTGTCATCAATCAATTCTTGCTGGAATTGAGCACGGTACCAAACATCGGTACCATCATCTTTAGTCAAAACCAAGCAAAGCTCTTTCACCTTTGGCACGTAGGCCGGCGCATTCTTCACTGTCATTCCGTACTCTTGAATTCGTGAATCTTCATCCATGAACTCTTGTATATTTGCTTTGAAAATGCATGTCAACAGGTTTTCATGAATGCGTTCTGGTCCAATGTTTACCAAAGTTGATTCTTCCTTTGTATTGACCACCAAACATTCAAGATCATCAAGACGATAGCGTTTAGATCTTTTTCCCTTTTTCTTGATTTCATCATTGATCGACTGATTCGTTATTATGTCAAACAATTCAACTAGGTCTTTTGTATGGACAAACGAATTATCGCCTTTAATTTTGAGCTTTGTCTCATTAGCACAAAGACCCTCCAAATACAATTTCATTTCATCAATTTCTTCTGGTTCGAATTCGTTTTGAATGTCCTTCAATACAACCGCGGTGGTCATGCGTCGATGTTGTTGCAATTCGTTGGGCAATTCTTTCAGTTGATTGAACAGAACTTCGACTGAATTTCCGAAATCAATGAAACCAACGTGTACTGAAGCGGTTTCTTTGTTTATTTTGATCACAATCGCACGATAGTATAAACCATCATATGGAGCCATCACAATGTCGTTGCGAACCGGGTATGTCGCTAGTTTTGGTGCATTTTTCGATGCTTCTCCAACTTCGGTTATCATCTTACTGAATTCAGTGTCCTTTGCAACGGATCGAACGTAAACCATTTGATGTGATTTCACGTAATTGATGAACACTTCGGAACCATCTTCGATTAAATCTACTTTACAGATTCAAAATATTTGTTAATGCTCATATAATGGATTCATAAATAAAAGACCTTACCAATTTCCATGCCGCTTGCAGCTGATGATGTCACAGATGCAGCTGGTGGTGTCATTGGTGCTGCTGGTTGTGACGTTGGTCCATTACTAGCTTGAGAGAGTAATCGAGCTCGTGGAGATGGTGCTGCTTTTTTATCGGCTGCAACACTTTCATCGATCAAAGGACGCTTTTCCGACGATGTAATGTCCGATGTATGAGATGACTTAGTTGCAACAACACAGTCAGATTTGGGTAATGGCGGTGAACCTTGCAACATTTTCTGTTCACCATTGGCGGCATCAAGTTTTTTTGTTTGAGGACTCTTAACGGTTTCAACTGAATCGCTGTTGCCTGCATGGAGACTGTACGTTGATTTAGCTGGAACAAGCTTACTATTCAACGGAAATTAAAACAAACAAAATTTCGATTTTATTCTTTATTCATCGAGAATATTGAACGCAATTTGAATATGAATAGCAATACGATCGTATTGTATACGTTTTACTTACGGCATTGGGAAACATTCTCGCTTGTGTTTCAACCAGTCAGACGCTTGACATTCTACACTGCAGTAAAAATCACCACATCGACCACAGTTGTGATAGGCCTTGTCAGTACACCGCAAACATTTGCCGTATGGCCTGTAACACAGGAAACAAATAAATGCCTTATAGTTTATTGCTGCGTTTCATGATTGCCGTTAATTTTTTTTAATCAAAAAATTTGTTTTGTGTATGCTACAGTTTGACTGATCCTAAACGAAAACGCACAATTTGTCAAGTAAGCAAAATCTGTGGCCACATAATGTATGTATAAATGAATGAATGCTATTGTTGTATAAGCATAAAACAATGTGTACCATTAAAAATTAAGAAAAATGCATGCAAATTGGAATTTTTCAGCCAATTTCAAAATGTCCACTGAAATTTCAATTGGAAATTATCGTAAAAACACTTACTGATTTGTTTTGTTTACAGAACCAGCTTCGACGCTACCGTTTTCCGTTCCAACGGAACCGTCCAATGAACGGTCACTGCCTTGAAGACTAGAACCACGTTGGCTGGATTTTCGTTTTTGACGAAAGTCATTATCGACTTTCGGCCGGGCACCATCTTCACTGCCATTTTCACCTTTGTTGGCACGAGCATTCGCATAGTCTACACGATATCCTTTGTCAGTGAGACCTTCTTTGGCGCGTTGAGCATCACTGTCGATAATTTATGAACAATTGAAAATCCGACAAAAACAAAATAATCTCAAAAAAAAATTTCATTCGAAAATGAATATGTTACCTTTCGTTGGAAAAAAGTGTGAATGCCATCCGCTTGTTTGAAGCTGGCTGATTCATATGCACTACGCGGCCAAACTGTTCGCACAATAAGCGAAGTTTATCCAGATTTTCGGATTCAATTAGATTGAAAAAGCACAGTTTTTGCAGATCTTTCACTTGTCCGGCCATTTTCACAATTTTTTTTTTGTGTGAAATCGTTGACAATTCGATTACAAAAATGTTAAATTATGCTCACAACAGAAATATCAAATTGAATTTGAATCAAAAGAATCGTTCGTGTGAATATAAACCACGTGTTTTAAAAGTGAACCGAATTGCTTGAGCTCTCGATCGAAATTGAAGTGCAGACGTCTGCCTCTTTTCTCAGAAAGCTAAAACTATGGCTGTACTAACGGTTATGCGTCTGTTGTTTTGTGTGCAGCATTTGAATACAAAAGGCACGCGCTGCAGAATTGAGTATGTCGGTGTTTCAGTTTGAAGTCATTCGTATGAAAAAAACAAACAGTGTGTCGTTGAGCTGAACATCACTGCGACTTCGTCTCGAATTTCAAATAATTATTTACAAATGTCGCGACACAGCCAGAAGCGATGAACACCGGACAAAGAAAACAAACGTTGAATCTCCTTGATACGACTTTGTCGCAAACATAAAAACCATAAAATTATTATTTGAATCGTTTCGCTCCAAATGCCTTTCTTATAAACGTGATGTTGATACGATTTTCACCAACTTAATTCCAAACTCTGAAATGTGCACAGGTTTGTTAAAACACATAATGTAAATTTTATCGCAGCGAAAATGTATAACTGACATTTGAATGTATGTGTTGCGTTGGTGATTTTGACATTTCGTTTTCAGTTTTAGCATATATATATTTCGACTCTGGTGAGCTCATTGCTACACTCGGTCGCAACACAAACACGCAAATGCAACCATACACCGCGTATTATAAGTGAGTGGAGCGCATTGCATTTATCTTAAATAAATTCGAATACAACGCGAAAAGAAAATAACAAACAAACCCGAAAAAAGAAAATACAAAATAAGAAAAAGAGTTCATTTTAGTGGTGATGCGGCGTTAGTTGTCTATGAACTTAACCTCAAATGCATTGTTTGTAAATTAATTTTTGACATAAGCGAAAAAAGGTGTAAAAATTGGCGAAAAATATATATTTTTCTGTATTTTGTTGTTTTTTTTTATTTTGAACGAATCCAAGTGAACATTCAACATGAATATTAAGGATCAAATTAAAATTGATATTGTAAGCATAAAATGAAATTAAAAGTGCCGAATGTGTGTTTTTAACTGTATGTTGTTTGATTTGTGTCTATTTTCAAGGAATGGGGCCATGAAAGACTGGTGCGTGCACAACAAACTGTAGAATTACGACCGTACGACGTCGAAGCGTGGTCAGTTTTATTACGAGAAGCACAAAATAGGCCGGCGAATGATGTTCGTTCACTGTACGAATCGCTAGTGGCTGTTTTTCCGACCACAGCTCGTTTTTGGAAAATTTTCATCGAACAAGAGGTAATCAATCATTTTTTTTTGCTTTATTTGACAATTTTCTGTGGAATACAACGTTTTTTGTCTGTTTTTCAATTAATTTACAGATGAAAGCCCGAAACTATGAGCGTGTGGAAAAGGTATGACAAATACTATAGCGTATGCCGTATATGACATCGGATTCCTAATAAAATTGTTTTATATTTGCAGTTGTTTCAGAGGTGTCTCATCAAAATTTTGAACATTGATCTTTGGAAATTGTATTTAACATATGTAAAAGAGACTAAATCCGGCTTGAGTACCCACAAGTATAAATATATTTTTATTCGCTTGAAAGCGTCCCTATTCAAAATATCAAATTAACATTTGTTCGTAATTCTTTTCGATTTAGAGAAAAATTGGCGCAAGCTTATGATTTTGCATTGGAAAAGATTGGAATGGATTTGCATTCATTTTCAATTTGGAGTGATTATGTGCAGTTTTTGCGAGGCGTTGATGCGACCGGTAGTTTTGCCGAAAACCAAAAGATCACAGCCGTACGGCGTGTATATCAAAAGGCCGTTCTAACGCCGATCATTGGCATTGAAATTTTGTGGAAAGAATACATTCAATTCGAGCAAAACATCAATCCAATAATATCCGAAAAAATGAGCTTAGAACGTTCACGTGACTACATGAATGCACGTCGTGTGGCCAAAGAATTGGAAGCAGTTACAAAAGGATTGAATCGAAATCTACCGGCGATTCCACCGACATTGACCAAAGAAGAAGTGCGACAGGTTGAACTGTGGAAAAAGTACATTGCATTTGAAAAATCGAATCCATTGCGAAGCGAGGACACCGCACTGGTTACACGACGCGTTATGTTTGCAACGGAACAATGTTTATTGGTGTTAAACCATCATCCGGCTGTTTGGCATCAGGCTGCACAGTATTTAGATCAGAGCTCAAAATTGCTTACCGAAAAAGGAGTGCGTAGTATTTTAATTGATTTGGTTGTCAGTGAATTGGATGGTGCTTCAATTTTCGATTTCATTTATTCTGTGATACGAATAAAGATCAGCAACGCATTGCATTCGCTGATGAAACTCTCATCTCGTGTCGAGATAGAAACCAAATTCGATTTGTGTCGTGTCATTTATTTCATTCACACATTTAATGAATACCGATTGTCAAATGTTTCCTTTGAATTTTATCATAGTAACAAAACTTACATTAAATTCAGACAATTTTAGACAAAAACTAACGTTTTATTTCAACGATTGGAACTTATTTTGGAAACATTTTTCAATCAAACATTCATTGCGTTTTACTTTAGTTAAGAGTGTTTTCATTTTTGTCCAAATCAATCACAGTCACTTTATTGAAATCTAATTTTTATTCTATTTTTCAAAGGATGTCAATGCGGCCAAAGCATTTGCTGATGAAGCCGCCAATATTTTAGATCGTGCAATTAACGGGCCATTGTGTCGAAATGCACTGTTGTACTTTGCCTATGCTGACTTTGAGGAAGGTCGTATGAAGTACGATAAAGTACACCAAATGTACAATAAGTTCATATCGATTCCGGATGTTGACCCAACCTTGGTATGTTGTTAATTTTCGACAGTCTTGCGTCTATTACACTTGTTAAAATGTCATTGGGGGACTTTTATCTTTAATATTGTCTCAATGTTCATTGCAGACCTATGTACAGTACATGAAATTTGCGAGACGTGCTGAGGGCATCAAATCAGCTCGTACGGTGTTTAAAAAGGCTCGCGAAGATATTCGTTCACGTTATCATGTATTTGTTGCTGCCGCGCTCATGGAATATTATTGCAGCAAAGATAAAGATATTGCATTTCGTATATTTGAATTGGGTTTGAAGAAGTTTGGCGGTAATCCTGAATATGTCAAAGTATTTTTTATATTTATTTTTTTATTTTTTAGATTTTTTATTAACAATTTTTTATTATTTTATATTTTTTTTTTCAAGTGTTACGTTGACTATCTATCACATTTGAATGGTAAGCATGAACTTCATTCCATTTTCCAATGGAAAATTTCCATGCAATTATTCTGAATAATCCGTTGTTGTTGTTTTTACAGAGGATAACAATACCCGTGTACTGTTTGAACGTGTTCTTTCTTCTGGTGGTTTGACATCGCAGTTATCTGTCGACGTTTGGAATCGCTTTTTGGAGTTTGAATCAAATATCGGTGATTTATCGAGTATTGTAAAAGTTGAACGTCGCCGTAGTGCCGTTTTGGAAACGGTAAAAATACCATTTGATATAGCATAATATAGATGAATGAACACTAACGTCATCTATCACATTTTCAGCTCAAAGATTTCGAAGGAAAAGAGACAGCACAGCTCGTTGATCGATATAAGTTTTTGGACTTGTTCCCATGTACATCAGTTGAACTTAAATCGATTGGATATTCACCTGTAAGTTTCCATCAACATATGTTGTTTATTCAAGAGACACCATTAATTACAATTGTTTCATTTTAGGACACCGGCCTATTCACAAAGCAGACAGAAGCTGAAAATGAAGAAATTGTATGTCAATTGCCTCGGCCCGATTTTTCGCAAATGATACCGTACAAACCAAAATCAAATCCATATCCGTATGAGCATCCATTGGGTGGTGGAACCTTTCCACAACCACCGGCTTTGGCTTTACTTTGTTCTCAATTACCACCGCCGGTATGCTTTCGCGGTCCGTTTGTCGCAATTGATTCGCTTATTGATGTATTCAATCGTATCAAATTGCCAGAAAGTAAGATACATTGAAACTCTCTGGAGCATTTAATTGTTTTATTTCTTACAAAAATTCAACTTTGTTTTGTGGTTTGTTCGCAGATTCACCCGTTCCGAATGCCAGCGATAATGGATGTGATGTAAAACTATTTGATCTGGCCAAATCGGTGCACTGGATCGTCGAAGATAGTGCGTATTCGGGCGAAGGTTTAAAACGAAAAATGCTGCCAGTCAATGATGATAGTGACGACGAAACAACCGCATCAAGACCACCACCAGCACAAGACATTTATCGATTGAGACAACAGAAACGTTTTAATAAGTCCTAATTTTCATATTTGTATTAGCCAAACAAAATTGCATACATTCGTTATAACAAAAAAAAAACTTATTCAAACTTAATAAAGACTTCATAAAAAGAAAATTCCCCGAAAATCGGTGTTTACTATTTATGTTTTCAAATAATATTTGTTTTTAAATCGTTCGGTTCATTTGTTATCGGGAATTTACCGATTCAGTAGCAGCTGTCAACAACAAACATTCCACCGTCAGAAATATTGGTTATGTTCAATATCCGCACATGACGCAGTATTGTTGTTATAGTTTTGAAAATGATTCGATGTTTTGTGCAAAATGTTCGGCATTTTTTAGGTTCCAAGCATTTTTTACAGCCGCATACAAGCCAATCTATCATTAAGCGGTTAAAATCCAGCGAATTAATCGAAAAAGCTAAGAAAGTTGAAAAATCAGAAGATGAACAAATGGAAAAACTCAAAAGATATCGACTTGCGGAGGTTTATACGATTCTTTCCCATAATTTTGTCTTAAGACGAAGAATAAGTGAATAAAAAGCAGTAACTATCGTGTGTTTCTAGGTACATCTTTGGCATGGATTGAATTATGAAAGCATAGATCCGGAATTTCTCACCGAAGACCAATTACAACACCTTTGTGGACTCGATGCGAAGCATCAACGAAAGAGATATTGCAGATTTTTATTAGTAAGAATGGAAGCAAAAGCCGAACAGAAAGCAAAAAAACAAGCGGCAAAGGAAGCGAAGAGTGGATTACGTGAACAAGTTCAAGCCACACGTGCATCAAATCCTCATATAGTATATGGGGTTGGTCATAATTCGCAATTCCTTCGTATCAACAACCAATTAATCAATAAATGGATCAATCGAAAGTAAGCAAAAGAAAACAAAATCCCATCATTACCGATAAATAATTTCTGTTTCATTTTTTCTTTGTGCAATTAGAATGTTCAGATCAAAGTTGTATGGCCAAAAGTTAGTCATTGATTTGTCATTCGAAAATCATATGACGGATCTTGAACGAAGTAAATTGTCTTCCGGTTTGAGGCGAGTTTACGCCGAAAATCGAGCGCACAAAAAACCAATGGATTTGCATTTATGTGGTGTACCACCGGATAGCGTCGTCTTAAAATCACTTTGCGGACAAATTCCAACGTTATTAAGTAAAAAATCACCGACGGAAATCCATTCCGAATGCTTTACAGAACTGTTTCCCAAAGAACGACTGGTCATGTTGACGCTTGACAGTGACAATGTGCTGGAATATAATTTCGATGACATATACATAATCGGTGGAATTGTTGATTTTGGACGTAACGAACCTTTGACAATGGCAAAAGCAAAAATAATGGGCATCAGAACAGCCCGATTGCCACTAGATAATATGCGATTGAAGGCAGGCGATTCACGAGAACTGCCAATGTCGTCAGTGGCGGCTTTTATACGCGAACATCAAGTTAATCGAAATTTAAAGGAAATCATTGAGAAATGTGTGTATTTATATTCGAAAAAGGGGAAATTAATTAAAGAAGTAGAGGAAAGGCGACGCACAAAACATGAGGCGACGCATAAAACTCCAGAGGACTAAGTAATGACATTTAATGTATTTTTATGTAATGGAGTAAAGAATTTAAATAAAAATATCAGACCTCTGATAGTAACAATGTAATTGAAAGTTTAATTTCTTCGTGCGTAAGCTAATCATGATACATGATTTTCATTTCAAATTTACCACGAGATCAAATTTAACCTCACTTTTTCAAAAAATAAAATGCTCGTACTGTCAACACATATGTACATGTCAAAGCAGAGCGCCATCACTAGCAAAAACTTCATATCAGACAGTGCAGCCAAGCAGAGTACAGAAAGACAAGAGAAGAAAAAAAACTAAGCAAATTACACAGCGATCGAACGACAGCGAAGAGAAAATTCATAATTTGGTTGTTTTTTGTTGTTGTTGTGTGGTGTGTTAGCTGAACATGTCGGATCTGGACAGATGGTTAGAAATATCACGGGATTGTAAATACCTGCCTGAAAATGATCTCAAACAGTTATGTGATTTAGTTTGTGATTTACTGTTAGAGGAATCAAATATCCAGCCTGTTAGTACACCAGTCACAGTATGTGGAGATATCCACGGTCAGGTGAGTGCTGCGATTGATATAGTGATAGTATAAATCAAACACAGATGACACGGATAAGAATTTCATTTACAAGTGCAATCCATACGATTCCGTCAATTATGAATGGGTTTCATGTTTCAATTGGAATGTTTCTTTTTAATTCTCTTTTTTTGTGTGCAATGCACTCGGAATTGGAATACATGTCATGTACAGTGTGTGTACAAAGTGACTTTACAGACAAAACATCATCATTCACAGATAAATGTCATCCATTCACATATGAATGATTGTATTAAATTTTTATTGTAATTTATGAAATTACAACAAACAAAAAAACACTGACTCAATTTACTCGAGAGAAATTGCATCATAATAAATAACCATCCACACATACATATACACATACAAAGAGTTGGTGCTTTGATGATGAATTTACATGCCGATAATTTAATTCGCATGACATCAAAATATCTATATTGTGGGGTGTTTGGCACTGACATTTACTTTTGAATTGATATACATTTTCCACTTGAGTTATCACAGAAGCAATATCATGGTTAATTGATTGTGTTAGTGCTACTGTGTTTCGTGCTAAAATTGGATGCTAATCAACATTTTGCTTTCTATTCCATCCGTTTTTTTAATCAATTTTTTTTAGTTTTACGATTTGGAAGAGCTGTTTCGATGCGGCGGCCCGGTACCCGATACAAACTATATATTTATGGGTGATTTCGTTGATCGTGGCTACTTTAGTTTAGAAACACTGACTCGACTTATGACGCTGAAGGTATGACGCTTCTGCTGTTAAATAAATGTAATATAAATAAATGAAAATTCCTTTTCATAATTAAATAGGCACGGTACCCGGACAAAATAACACTTTTACGAGGAAATCATGAATCGAGACAAATAACCAAGGTGTATGGCTTCTATGATGAATGTTTAAGCAAATATGGCAACGCAAATGCATGGAAATATTGTTGTCGTGTCTTTGATTTATTGACCATTGCAGCCGTGAGTAAATCATTTTGTTGTTTTGAATTATATTTGAAATGAATTTTCATGGATTTTCTCTCTCTCTCTCTACCTGTCTCTCTTTGGTTTCATATCACAGTTAATTGACGAGGATATACTGTGTGTGCACGGTGGCTTAAGTCCCGATATTCGAACATTAGGTAATTGTACACTTTTCCATCATTTCGAAATATATTTAATAATAATAAAAATGTTGGAATTTTAGATCAAATTCGGATGATTGATCGTAATCAAGAAATTCCGTACAAAGGTGCCTTTTGTGATTTGGTATGGTCCGATCCAGAGGATGCGGTCGATGCATGGTCGCACAGTCCACGCGGTGCCGGTTGGCTTTTTGGTGCCCGTGTAACGCAAGATTTTATGGAAATCAATAAATTGGATTTGATATGTCGTGCCCATCAATTGGTGCACGAAGGCATTAAGTACATGTTTGATTGTCAATTGGTAACAGTATGGTCGGCACCAAATTACTGTTATCGTTGTGGTAATGTTGCATCCATCCTAAACTTCAAAACTTCCAAAGAACGCAATCCAATCATATTCAAAGCTGTGCCTGACAATGAACGTGTTATACCACAGCAACAAGTAACACCGTACTTTCTTTAATGTACTTTTTTTTATAAATGTTGTCCAAGTTTAACTAAGACATACCCCCCACACGATTTTTTGAACGTTAATTCCAATGTGAATTAGTTTCGATCAATGTTGGTTTCTCTTCTCTTTGTTATAATTGACGCCAATCGGGCGCATGTTTTAAAAGCGCTATAGACCAACACAAACAATGAGGATGAAATAATTATTGATAGAGAATGAAACAGATTTAGAAATTAGCGAAAAATCATCACCGACTAGGCTAGGAATTTCAATTTAAATCGTTTTGTAAAACAAACTAGCTACTAAATTAATTCGGAAAAATGAATGTTTTAATGAAAAAGAAAAATGAACAAGAATTAGAAACCATAGAAGTAAATAAAAGAATCATATATTGAAATATAGGGAACTTTTTTTTTCTTCTGAATAGACTAAACTGAAATTGCTCTTTATTTAAAACAAAAAACCGAGACATTTAACTTTAAGGTGCACATGAAAGAGCATAGTAAGAACAACAGCTATCAAAAATTATTTGAATGTATACTGACTTTTTTCTATTCAATTATCGATAAAGATTTTCATGTTTTGTTTTTTTTTTTTAATTTTCTAAGCATTTTGTAACAAATCTTGTTGTTATTTTTTTGCCAATACTTTTTCCTACACGCAAAAACATTGTATTTGTAAGCATGTACAAATTGATTGCCAGCTCAACATTGTTTTATAATATAGAGATTTTCTATTTCCAAAAAAAAAAATATTGTATCACCAGTTAACAAAAGTTACTGTAAAGTAAAACCAATTTAGTAAAAATGTTTTTTTTTCTTCGAGTTAATTATATCATTTTCAATTATTATTCAATAAAAAAGGACGAAATACTCGGCGAATGCTTAATTTGATACGTATTTAATGCAGAGAGACCACTGATTATTGCTGGTCTCACTTAAATTGAACAAAATGAAGTCACATGATTTAGTGGTATTTTGCAAATGGATGAAAATATACGAATTACAACATATCCATGTGGAGATTAAAAGATTTTATAGACAAAGAAATCGAACAAAAGTAACGAGATTTTTTAGAAGACAATTTTTTTTAAATATTGCATATCCAATGAGTGAAATTGCAGCTACGATGATGACGAAAAAAAAGAGAAAGAGAAAATAAATGAGAATGTTTTTGTATTTCACGTCTATTTATAGGAATGCATTGAATAAGCTTCACATAGATACTACCAATGCTTCTCTCTTTTTTGTACTTTACTATAAATGTGTATCTTTGTCGAACTGAAAATAAAAAACACAACAACAATATACTGTGCATTCGAATATGTGTCTATGGGAAAAAAATACAATGAAAAAAATGCACCCCCAGTAATTAGTTTTTACTATGCTCATCACATTTCGGCCAAAATCTATTTGTTTCCGAAATGTTAACCTTGTGTAAAAAAATGTTAATAAAAGTATCTATGGTTAGCCATGGACCATGCCCAATTTGTGTAAAAAAATGTATATGTGTTTTACTTCTATTGTGTTTTGATTAATTCGCGTCTCAAGATTTGTGCCCATGGTATTGAACTTGAACAATTCAATATGAGGCATCTGTTTTGTTTGAACACATGTGTTGATTTAGTCGCTAATTTGCATTTTTTCACTGATCTCCATAGACTATATTGCTTTTGATTCATTAGTTTAAGAAAAATTTCAATTAATCACCATCGATTGTATTTTAAAAATTATCAACTGCGTATATCCATCCATCGAGTGAAATCCAGTATTTTATGGAATTCTTTCTTTTTTCATTGTGCAGGTGCAACAACAGCCACAACATTTGTTGTTTTTATAAATGTAAATAAAATGTGATGTAAAGATGATTGTGATCGATATGGCAATTGCGTATTGCGTTAATTCTGCGTGCTCATAATTTCGAAACATCCCAAAACACGGTCTTAAAATATGTTGATATTCCCAGTGATGACCTCAGTATAATTTTTTCAGTGATACGAAACGGTAATAAAAAAAATTGTTGAAATGAGATCTTTTACGATCGTTTTAATCCTTGCCATTTGTGCACCAGCCGTGCTTTGTCAAAACGACGATGATTCATTATTTGACTACTTCTTTTGGATGCCGCCACGTACATCGGCTACAAGAGAAAGTATCTCAAATCCAGAATCAGATATAACGAGCATTGACGCAGTGGAACCAAACCAAGATGAAGTTGAAATTCTACCATCCGATGTGTATTACAATAGAGATCAATCGGCACCAGTGCAGTTTGAAACCGAGTCAACATATGATACTACAGCAATGAGTACAACAGAAGAAATGGCATCAGAAAGTGGTAAAAAATCCACTGACACCAGCAGCAGCGAAGGTGCGAGCGCACAACAAGCTTTGGTCGATAGTGAATTTTGGAAACATTTTATGGCAATTCTTACGAAAATGGAGAAAGAACAACCATCGACAATTGAAAATCCACCGAACAAAGCTGAATTGAATAAATTTACGGGCAAAAAATATAATCCGATCGATGCGAAAAAATCGCGTCAAATCGGATATAAAGCAGAGAATCCAACTGATAGCGTCGCTGATACGGTGAACTTTGGTTTTGAATCTACAGCATCAAGTTCAAGTCATTCGCAAAGTAGTACGTTCACAACCGATCAGAGCTCAAGTGAGAAGTCAGATGAAAGTTCCGAGGAAAGCAGTTATGGTGATGATGATGGATCTGAATCTCGGAGTACCAATTCGAACTACCAATCCCAAACTTCCGGAATCTATTTTGATTCTGACCGAATCTTTGTTCCATTGGCACCATTCCCAGATGATTACGAACCAATTTCATACATTGTTGAAGAATCAGACGAAAAAATGCCCGAAATTGAAGATACTTTGCCACGTACAAGCGCCAGCACAATTTCTATCCCATCAATTACCAGTTGTGAGACGGTGGATACCGAATCGACAAAAGAAGAAAACGCACGAGAATCAACTATATCAGAATCATCAACTGATGACAGTACCGTGTCCAACGGCCCGACTGATGATGGGGAGAATCAAAGAATCGCAGAAATTCAATCAAGTATGACAAGCAACACAAAAGAGGAAAATTTTGAAATTATTTCAAGCAATGATGAGACAGTAGATGCAGTATCTACAAATACAGAAAACGTTGAATCAACAAAAGAAGATAAAGCTGAATCAACAGAAGATAAAAATGAAAACGAAATTGAAAATGATATCCCAATTGACGATGATAAACCATTGGGACATATTTCATTTGGTCAATTTATGAAAGCACTTATCAAGCGTATGGTACTGTAAACAGTGCAGCTTTTCTAAAAAAACTATTTTCATTACTATAATTTTTCCAAGTATTTTTTTCCTCCAATTTTTGTAATTCTAAAAAAAAAAGATAAAATAAAAAAATGCAGAACTGCTGCAAAAAAAGGCTTTTTGGCGTATTTTTTTCAAATATGTTTTTCTTTATTGATTTTTACTAAATTTGAATGAACTAATTCACATGCGAAGTAAATGCTTTAAATAACGTCGCTAAAATTGTCTGAAACGCCTCCAATTTCCATACTTGTTATTATTTCTCTTTCTATAATGGTTTTACTTTGCTATAATTTATTGTTTTAGTTAAATTGAAATTGACATTGTTTTATTTATCTCTTTTTTTTAAATTATTATTATTAATCGTTAAATATGCTTTTAGTTTTTAGATTATACGATGAAAATCTACAGGGTGGGGCATATAATAGGCTCACTCTTAGGGGGTGGGAATTT